ATCTTTTTGATATAAAATGAATAAGTTGGGTTGAACGCATAAAAGATATTGCCCAACGATACTTATTAAAGTTTTTATATTGATAGTTTTAATACAAACAACATGTGATTGAGCATCCTTTTTTATTCTCAGAGTATTTCCTGTTTTCTCTATAATAAATTTAAAATGACTTTATCAAAGTAAAAAATTAACGTTTAGACGAAGAGATTAAAAGTATCTTTCCAATATGAATTTGATTGCTTTCAAGATTCAAAGGACTTTAATAGATTGTCAGATTGATTGTGTTCCTTAGACATAGTATAATTTTCATACTTAGTAAATAAAAAATTGGACCATCCACGCAAGAATTAATTGGATTTCTTGATAATCCAAATTTTAATTATTTAAATTTTACGGAATTAACTCAGCTATTTGCTCGATATTCGTTTATTGGGCCCTCAGTTACCTGCGCAGTTTTGTTGTTTTACATATGTTAAGATAGATGTTGTCACTGACTGATGTTAGCTGGAAACTCATTGAAAAAAAGAACATGCTGAACATATGTTTTTGGAATTTTATTCATATAAATAACGTGCGTCAAACTGTTAACTGATTTATAGGGCGAAACACACACTGTAAATGAAAACTCAGGAAGGATTCTAGGCAAAATTGAAGCATTCTAACAAACAGCACACTTGCCAACAAAAGTTGACAGAGATAAGCTTGCACAATTACTGACAATCAACCACATTCTTTAAAAGTAATCTATACGGTTCAAACCCAAGATGAGAGGTGTATGTAAATAATTTTGTGAATGGAGAACTGTGGAGAAGCTATCGTGGAAGCACAGAGGCAAATATGAAAACCCTTAAGTGAAAAAGAAGAAACACTCAGTTTCTAACTCACTCTTAGATCCATTAATAACGATAACTTTGATGTACGATGCATAGATTTAGGCTGACGTCCCTTTTAACAACCTGAGAAACGATTTTTATAGGTACATGGGATGTTTGGACAATATGGAAGACCGGAAGGACCAATCGAATAGCTACGAAATGAGGAGCTACAACTTGACCGTGCTCGGAATCAGTGAAACCCATCGGACTCAAGTTGGACAAAAAAGGATGGATTCAAAACAGATGTTGCTATACCCTGGTCACGTGAAAGAAAATGCTCCACATAATCAAGGAGTTAATCTGGTGCTGTCAAAGAAGCACGTAATGTATTTGTAGGATGGGAATCTCATGGATCCAGGATCATCAAAGCATCTTTCAAAACAACGAAGGAGGGAATAACAATAAATGATAGCAATAATATCAATGACCACGATAAAGATCAGTCCTATGGGAGGCTGCAGTCGATCATAGTGAAGTGCGCAGGAAAGAGACTGACAATCCTGATGGGAGATCTAAACGCCGAAGTCGGAATGGACAACACCGGGCACAAAGATAATATGGGACGACATATATTGACTAGAAAAAAGAAACGGGAATGGTGAGAGATTTGCAAATCAATATGCATTCAACAAGTTGGTTATAGGTGGCACAATGTTTCCGCACAAAAGCATATACGAAGCTACATGAGTCTTACCGGACCACAACACAGAAACCCAGATAGACTATATTTGCATCACTCAAAAATTCAGAAGGTCAGTGGAAGATGTGAGAACCAGGAGAGAAGCTGGCATAGCTTCAGGTCACGATCCATATGTTGGTTGCCAAGATGAAACTGAAGAAGCATTGGAGAATTGGACGAACAACATTACAAATGTTCAATACAGTCTTCCTTCGACATACTGAAAGACTCGACCAACTCAAGACAACAGGTTCCAAGCCTCACAAGATCTATTGTGCCAAGAGGAAACTGCTATGGAGAACTACTGGAGATGGATCAAAGAAGTATTAACTACAACATGTCAGGAGGTTGTGGGCCGCAAGAAGCACACTCATAAGTAATGGATCAAAACCCTGGACAAGATTCAAGAAAGGAAGAATAAGAAGACAGCAATTAACAACAGCCGAACAATGACAGAGAAAGTCAAGGCAAAATCCGAATACACAGAAGCAAACAAACAAGTCAAAAAGAACATTAGAGCTGATAAACGGAAATACGCAGAGGACCTAGCAACAACGGTGGAAAAAATCTACAAGAGAAGGGAATATGAAACGGCTGTACGACACAACGCAGAAACTGGCAAGGAAATATAATAAGCCAGAGAGACCGGTCAAAGAAATAGAAAGCAAGCCAATCATCAAGATTCAAGAGTAAAAAAAGAGACGAGTGGAATACTTTGAGGAACTCTTGAATAGGCTAGCTCTATTGGATCCACTGGACATCAAAGCAGCACCTACAAACCGTCCTACAGATGTCGCGTAACTAACGATCGAAGAAATCAGGATGGCCATTAGACAAATCAAGAATGAGGAAGAAGTAAGGCCTGACAATATACCAGCTGACGCATTAAAGTCAGACATAGAAGTAACTGCAAAGATGTTCCACACTCTATCCAGGAAGATTCGGGAGGAAGAACAAGTGACGACGGACTAAAAAGAACGACAGCTCATCAACATGCCGAGAAAATGAGATCTGAGCAAATGTGAGAACTACAGAGGAATAACACTACTATCGGTACTAAAAAAGGTTTTAAAAAGAGTGTTATTGAACCAGACGAAAGATTCAATGGATGCCCAACTTTGAGATCAGAAGTCTGGATTCCGTAAGTATCGATCGTGAACAGATTGAATTGTTATACTATGGGTCGTTGTCAAACGATCAAAATCATACGCAATTCACACAACGGACCACACTACAAAGTGCTGCATGGAGGACAGCTGACAGATACATTCTAAGTGAGAACCACAGTCAGAAAAGTTCACTTAATATCTCTTTTCCTCTTTCTACTGTTAGTTGACTGGATTATGAAGACGTAGATGTAGATCTGACGAGAAGCACGGAATACAATGAACGGCTCAGAGTTAACTAGACGATTCGAACTTCGAAGATGATCTAAGCCTCCTACCCCATACATACCAACAAATGCAGATGAAGATAACCAGTGTAGCAGCAGCCTCTGCATCAATGAATCTCAACATAAACAATAGAAAAACCAAAATCATCAAATACAACATGGAGAACACCAACTCAACCATATTTGATATAGAAACTGTGGAGTAGGTGGAAAATTTCACATACCTGCACAGCACCATCGATGAAGAAGGAGGATGTGATGCAAACGTAAATCCAGGGATTAGTAAGTCAAGTACAGCATTCCTACAGTTGAACAACATATGCAACTCAAAACAACTCTCAACCAATATCAAAGTCAGAATCTTCAATACGAACGTCGAAACAGTTCTACTATACGGAGCTGGAAATTGGAGAACTACTGCAATCATCATCAAGAAGTTACAGGTATTTCTAAACGCAAGCTGCTGAATGTCCGTTGACCGGATACCATCAACGACAACCTACTATGGGAGAGAACAAACCAGCTTCGAGTTGATGGGTAGATAAATTAGGAAAAGACGTTGGTAGTGGATAGGACGTACATTGTGGTAGTGATCAAACCACATGATGAGGCAAGCGCTAATTTTGAATCGTTCAGCGGAACAGGAAAGAAGAAGACCGAATGGCAACTGCGTCAAGAATTGGAAGCGGATATTGAAAGGATGAGTAGCAACTGGAAAGAACCGGAAAGGATTACCCAGGGCAGGGTTGGATGCGTAATGCTATTGGACGGCCTATGCTTCTCCACGAGGGCTGACAGGTGTAAGTAAGTAAGTGATGATTAATAAAGTGAAATACTCCGAAACAACACTTTTTAATAATGCTACATAGAGCAAACAGCACCTATTAGCAGTGTTTGATTAGTATGTTACGTTTTATATGTGTTCAAACACGTGTATACATAAGATTTTTTACTGGTGAATACAATGAAACATGAAGTACATTGAAATCACGAGCCAACCTAGATTAGACCATCATTGAAAATTCGGTGGCACTAGATGGCCGTTTGGCCCTAGTATGGAATTCCTCAGTAGTGCTCATCCACAATCCCAAAAATTGGAGTCGAACCAAGAATCTTCTGTCTTACACGGAAATACTTAACTTCTAGACCACTAAGCCGGCATATAACGGTGTTAGTATCTAACCCCAATCAATTCACAAAATTGTGACCCAGAGCTCATGATTTCGCTCGTTTGAATGAAAATCCTCGGTTCGATCGTGGACAAGCACTGCTAAGGAGTTTCATACTAGGGTGAAATGGCCGTTCATTGTTACTAAGTTTCCAATAGTGGTCTAACCTAGATCAGTTCATTATTTCAATGAAATTCAACAATCCCCACAATCTCATACTGTTTATTTAAAATTATTTTGTGACTTTATTCTCTATTTTTTCTAGTTCAACATTTATTTGTTGTGTAAAAAATATCTTTACATTCAACGCATGTTGTGCCTACACGCATTACATGATTCTTACGAAATTTATCTTCTTATCGTGTTATTTAAGTTTATTAAAAGAACCGACCAATTTTAATCATTTATGTTTGTGATACAATTTTGGTTTTGATTATTACACAAAACAGGCACGAACTGAATCATAGTAAAATGTCTCTTCTTTGAGGAATCATTCAATCGTTGAAGTTTTTTGGCTAATATGATTTTTACCAGAAGTGGTTTTGTGGAGATTTTAGTAATTTAATAGTTGAATTCATAAGTCAGTTGAAGCCAAACCACCATTGAAAACCTGGAAGCACTGGACGGCCGTTTCGTCCTTTCACGATAGGTCCTGGGTTCGAATCTCCTGGGGCGGGATCGTAGACGCGCACTGCTAAAGAGTCCCATACCAGGACGAAACGGCCATTCAGTGCTGCCAGGTTTTCTGTAGTGGTTTAGCTTTAATTGACTCATGAATTCAACTGTTAGTTTAATATGGTTTTAATTATTATTCATATCAAGAAACATTTATATTTACATTAAATCAACTTTGAATAATTAACATTTAGAATTTGACTATTGAAATGGATCGTTATGAAAAATTAACAAGAATAGGAGAAGGTGCATATGGTGTTGTATTTAAATGTCGTCATCGTGATACTGGAGATATAGTTGCTATTAAAAAATTTACCGACTCTGAAGAAGATCCAGTAATACATAGAATCGCAATGCGAGAAATTCGTACATTGAAAGTAAGTTACGAAATTTCTCATTTACATTGGAGGAGAATATTGTATGATTGTGAACTGTGGGATCGATTACTTAAATTGATGTAATTTATTACTTTAGCGGGTTTGTAGTTTACATCACTGACTGACTTTATTTAAACAATAATTGTTGTTTAATTGAAATCAATTCATAATGTAAACTATAATGTGATTTGGTGTGGCTGAGTGAAAACTACACATGTAAACTAACTTATTGACTTGAAGCAGCTCTCAATAGATGAATATTCTGAGACAGAACAACCGATCAATAAACGGATTCATTTTATAGCGGAGAAATTACACACTGATATATCGAATGTTTAACACAACAGTAAACATTGTTAAAATTCATTTAAACGTTAAATAGTTGTGAAACTTCTATGTTTCAGATCTTCATTAAATAATGACACTAGAACATGACTATCAAGGTTAACAAATCACTTTTATTTATGCTGTTCTATTTTATGTCTGTGGGAAGTGACCTTCAACAATAGAAGATATTTGTAGGTTAGTGATATTTGATCATGAATGACTTTAAAGCATTGTTAATGAATGTTGGGACTGATTGAGCTGTGCTGAAGTAAGACTCAGAGTACTGGATAAAAACTAATAAATCAGCTGATAAGTTGGAGATTCTTCATTTGCTGAAGTTGTTAGGATATGTACTTCTCGTGTTTAACTACTTTCTACCTCGACTCACGATGTTAGCTAGTGTATGATTAGATTGAAAGAAAGGTAGAGATTGACAGATCAATATGTGGCATCAGTCTATGAAGTCACTAACTGTTGAACTAAGTCATGCTGAGGCATTGGAAACTCACCAATTCAAGCTCGAACTCTGCGTGCGAAAACGATACGTCCAACCATTCATCCATCATTGACCCTGATTCCTTTCTTAAGTATGTTTTGGTCTTGTTTTTTAGATTAATGTTTTGTAATTATAAACCGTAATCAGTTATTATTATTGTTTTAACAACTTTTCACGATTATTATTCACTTATTATTATGACCTTTATGTTTTTCATTTTTCTTTGTATCTGTCGAGCGGACAGATTATTTTCCATAATTCTGACCCGTAAATTATTTTCTTCTTAACCCCCTGATTATTATGTAACCTCATTTGATATTTGGAGTCTCGACTCACTTTATGATGTAATCTTTTCTATTCTTATCTTATACATTTTATTACGGAAATTTACTCTGTTTTCCTAAATCATAATATTAATACTTAATCCTTTTTGCTATTACTAATGCTGCTACTTGTTCTACTACTCTGAAATTTATCATGATAATTTCATCTCGCTGATCTGAACTGACATGACAAGTTGGACTGATTCACATATATGTTAGGCTCTGGGTAATTTATAACTTACTAACTGACTCTGATGAAATGAATTTCGATAAAAGACTGAACTATCTTTCCTAAAAATTTATATACATAATTTAGTCTTCTTGTTTGATCCTGTGCACTTGTGTTCTTTCTTTTTCTAAAAAAAAATTATCCACTTATTTGGTAGACACTAATCTACTAGGTCGATGAAATAGACATTTATCTAGGAGGTTATAAATTCAAGCTAACTAAATTTTCTTTTGTACGGAAAGCGATAAGAGTTTCAGTTTGGAATCTAATAGATGACTTTGTAAATGTCTACTCATTGATTGAAACAGATTCGTTCAATCCAATCGATCTAACTCCATTTGATTATTCAGATATTATTTCTAACGCATATACATAGAAATTTAAGGCCGGATCAAGAAATTGATACTTACATATCTATTTGTAATTAATTGTAAGTTGAAATATATGGTCATAGAAAAAATAATAACTATGTATCTTGTGCAAGTGATTTGAAGACTAAATTTGTTTGACTTATCCCGTTTCTAATATTCCTAAACAGATTTCGACTCTTTTCAATTGTCATGTATGTATCTTATGTGGATTGTTGTGATATAGTTTTAGTATCAAAAGTTGTATAAAATAGATAGACTATGGGTAGCAGCTTTCATCATGGACTGATATCAGCTGCTAAACCTTTAAAAATCAAGGATTTTTAAACATTCGTTTGTCCTGGTTTAAAACTTTACAGCGCTATAGACCCATGGTCCATCCATGGCTGAACACAGGATAACCTGGTACTAATCCGAGATATTATAATAGGCATAGACGTACCATGAAAATACAATAGAAAATTTACTATCACTATGGGTATGTGGAAATTGTTGAGTTTTATTTAAATCACAAACCGATCTATGTTAGACAACCATTGGAAACCTGAAAATACTGGACACAGGTTTCGTTCTAGTGCGAAACTCCTCAGCAGTGTTCATCCTCGACCTCACCACCAGGAATCGAACCCGAGGCTTTTAGTTTCACGAGAGAACACTTAACCTCTTAATCACGAAACCAGGACCCGATAATGAGCAAGTCTAACTTAGATGAACCCAGGAGATTTTACTACCATTTTCTATCGTGTTTGGTTAGCACCATCCTTACAACCGACACAGTTGAACTGCACTGGTCACGGTTTCCCACTACAACTCAGAAAGTTCCTCCCAAAACTAGTCACAAGTGGGTACACCATTGAACTCTGGCTCAGTGACTTAGAGGTTTGGCGTTCGAATGCGCCATTGAGAGTCCTAGATTCTATCCTTTGTTGTAGTGTCGTGCATACTACTGAGGAGTCCCATACTAGCAAAAAAGGTCATCCAGTACTTTCAAGTTTTGAATGGTTGTCTACGATCGGTTCGCGATTGCAAGAAGGGATTTTTAAACTTATCTATTAATATTTTACAAAATTGAATATTATACTTGTTAGTTATCAATAGATTCTTTTTCATATCGTATTTCTTTTTCACACAGCAATTAAAACATCCAAATCTGATCAATTTAATTGAAGTTTTCAAACGTAAACGCCGATTGCATTTGGTGTTTCAGTATGTTGATCATACATTATTGCATGAATTGGAGAAACATACTAAAGGGTAATAAATTTTTAATAACTTTGGTACACTGTGTAATGATGAATGGGTTTTGTATGTGGTAATCTATTCTATAAGTGATATTCGTTATAGATTTTTCTCAGTTAAGGGTACCATTGAAAACCAGCAAGCAATGAACAGCTGTTTCGACTCTTCAACAGTATACATCTATGAATCTGCCCATGACTAGATTCAATGGTTCCAATAGTAAAATGTCAACCAAGAGACTTGAAAGTTCTGAGTTTTATGCATAAAACGTTCATGAGTCAACATTGTTTAAGACTCCTGAATATGATGTGAGGTCATGTAATTCATCTTAATCAATTCATTATTAAGTATGGTTTCTATCTAATATATAAATAAAATGTGAATTGTTTAATTTGATACTTACTCTGTTATTGTAATACTGGGAAATTTGAATTAAGTTTAATTATTAAAGAAATCATTTGATCAAATCATTGAAGGAAGAGAAAATGTATAGGACATGTTCAAGTACGCTTTCATCTACATAATTCTGTAATACAAACTTTCGTTTAAAGTTAAGTATACGATGGCTACCAAGAAATATTCAACAAATATATATCCCAAAAAACGTGTTAATGAACACTATTCCTAAGTTGTATTCCAATTGATACCACTTTATATTGTGATTCGTTAGTTTTATTTTCACAAAACATTGTACTTTGTTAGCGTTAAACAACTTACCGTCACCCGATAATGAAGAAAATTTATTCATTCCATTTATAGTGATTAGATAAGCTTCGTCGTTTTAATAAAGATACAATGATTATCGATGAAAATCGTTACTGATCATACGATATCCCGGAATGATTAAAATCGATAATATAGACTTATCTGTCCCAACATTGAGGTTTACATATATAGTATTCACTGTGAGATATAATGATCCTTATTTCAATCTCTTAATAGGATCGCTGATAAGTAATGTTGAGGTATTCTATACTAGGGTAAAGCAAATATTCAGCAACTCTTAATTCTCATTGGTTAATTTATTTGTAAATAAAATCTGCCTTCTACTTCTTTGTTAGTCTACGAGATATTTCATGGTCGATTATTTAAAGAGCTATACATTGAAAACTAATGTTTTATATCATGTAAATGTTAAAAGTTAGCTTTCATCAATAAATGTTATCGACTAGAGAATCATTAAAAACTATAGAATACTGGACAGATATTTCTCAATGTGGCTGACTAACTTTACTACAAGGAATTGGATATAAAGCTTTTAGCTTCCGTGACAGACATAATAAATTCAGTAAACAACATTTCCAACTTTGATCAAATTACACAAGTTTACCTGAAGCTCAGTTATTATCACTAGGGACATTTATCTCATTATCGACATGGGTTAAACTCCATTGATCTTGGCTTCATAAATGAACTTCACAAACCTATCTTAAAGTTTGTCACTATTGAATGGACGATTATTAAAACAAAACATGAGATATGTGGCAATTGATCAACACGAAGTTAGTTTATTTTATCATAGTCTGATTCATTAACTGCTGGACCAATGAAAACTATTCATTTTTACCGAAGAAACAAAACTTTCCTCATCTAAATAAAGATTATGTTATTTTAATAGATTTCTATTGTTGATTTACTTTAACTGAAAAGACTTGACTATTGTAATACATAAAATACTTTCCTGTATACATTAATTTTGTATTAAATGTTCGTTAATCTACCAGTTAAGAAGAGTAATTTCGAATTTGTCTAATGAATTTCCTTTGAATTCAAACGATTTTATTGTCTCATTGCATATCGAGTTCAACCTTTTCTCTGATGACATATTTCTTTGAATCTAAACTCATCTTATCTTTACAAATGTTTTTGCATCCTTTGATAATGTATCACTTCCACGTGATAACTGCAACCAATGGTTAGAGAATTTGAACGATATGGCTCAAAATCGTTAGCTCAGATCCAATGTTCCTAAATTCCTGATAAATTCTTCTAATTATTTCTCTCATTTTTATTTTCTTCTAGAATTGTATCTCCTATCCCTAATCTTTTCTATTACTACTAATACTGTTACTATCTCTATTGCCATGAAATTCGTCTAGACAATTTTATCTAACTATGCTAACTGGATTTGGGAACTTATACCGATGTACACATGTGACATGTTCTACATTGCGTTTGACTAAATCAGTGATTGATTATACTACAAAATCGATTAAGTTAATTTGTGCACATAGTTAGTTTGATCCCGTAGAAATGATCATTGGCAAATACTGCTATAAGGAGCCTTTAAAACGAAAAATACAATTGAACAGTTTTTAGTGGCTTTTAAACTCTGATGTCAATTTATAATGGAAATTATCATCAGTTTACAGAAAGTCTACATAAATCCTACTTAATTGTGCAATGATAACATAAATATTATTTCTCAATAAAAAAAATATATTCCATGCATTTGGTTTTCTCAAAGCTTCAGCAAATCACTTACTTGCATATGCCTTTTACCCCTCATGGAGGAGGATGGCCACCCCACCAGAATTCTCCATCAACATAAATTACAGAATCCCATGAATTCATTATATTTGTTTCGTAGGATAAGAGTTTACAAACCAGAAAAAAGTACAAGTTCTTATGAGAATGATGTACAAAGATCATTAATCGAAGAATAAGATCAATCAAGTGAAAATATAAAAGTTTTATTTCCAACCGCTAACCTATTTCTACTGTATATAATGTAATGTTCACTAACACAAAGATAGACAAACACCCCTCTCATACCACTTTCAACTGTTTGTATGGACTTAAATAAACATTCAAAAATATGTGCGTTATAAGGATAGGAAGACAGACTTATACACATTTTATTGGGCACATTCCAAAGAAACTATGCCTACGTGGACAAAATAGTCATTATAACTGGATAGAACATCAAGTGCTGGATAACGGGGACAAAGTGGAGACAATGAATGTATCTAAAATGATCAATGGACACTTTAACTATCCTTTATAGATATTCTCTGAAGTCATGGAAATTATATTTGAACTCGATCTTTGTATTTCAAAAGGTCAGTGGTTAACTTTTCTCTACCTTGGTAAGTGAAGTATTTCAGCTCCTCTTTTTTCATGTTTAGTCCTTTATTTAACTGTTATGACAACTCATTAAGTTCAATCTTCATATTGTTTTCTACGTAAACCTCTTCGGTTTTTGTTAGATTCTGTAATTTAAAAAAGTTATCTTAACTATTTTGAAACTATGACTTCGAATATTTTCTAAGAAAACCCTTTTTAAACTTGAAGTTTTAGTTACATTTATAATTTAAATAACTTATTGTCAGTTGATGGATAATTCATTTTCTTTCGAATTTCAAACCATATCAATAACTAAGCTCTTTATTTATTTGAACACATAGATATTGGTATAAGGGGGAACCGGGTACATATGCGCCACACAAAACTCATTTGATATGTGTGAGGGCTATGATACTGCCCAAGTGCCCAAACCGAAGCAGGAGGCCACACCCTGGACCTTTGACCCAAAGGTCTGATCCACAAGGCAGTGAAGCAACGTAAGGATATGCAGTCCCATGGTAGACAGTGACCAGTAATTGGTTCACACACCATTTGTTACTTCGGGATACTGGAGCCCATGTTGGTTCGGAATCAGAGTTTTCCAACTCCCCTAGGGTGGACTCTCCATGTCCACCAACCACGTTAATGCGCCGAACATTCGCTTTTTATCCTTTCAATTTCGTAAACAACACCCGCGCCACAAGAAGTCGGTGAGTAGGACTTCCCTGGCAGAGGCTATGTACGCGTGGCCATGTGAGAGTATTTAGAGAGGCAGAACGGACTCTCTCCACTCTCGGCCGTACCAGGGCATTTGGGGGCACTAAGCTCTTTAACTGAGGAGAAAACAGTGACATGCCATGAATGAATTCATCTCTTGCCATAAATTGTCTGATTCCTAATTTTTTTATATTTTAATCGAATTTAACTTTCTTGATAAATAGAAATATCTACCAAATAATTTAACAATTATTTTGAAAGGAGTTTAGTAATAGCTAACAGTGGAATCCCGTAAGCACATTTCATCCTATCCGGGACTTATCAACTAGATGTACCAATATTCTAGTATTAATATTTACTCTGAGACTCAAACTCAGTGGCTTTCACTTCGAAAAACTAATGAATTATCCATTGAGTTACTACGTTCAGATAGTTAATGGTTTGTACGACAAGGATGAATTTTAATTCACTTGTAAGAATTATTTGAATCTTCCGGTTGTTGATACTAAAGACTGTAATTGATTAGGCTCTTAAGGCATTTGTAGATTCTGGGTGAATTGTTTCAATTTCTCCATTAACTCACAAGTATTTTAAGCATATTTGGATAGTTGATACTAGTGGAATCCAGAATCTAGGTACATTCAATTAAATAAAAAATCCAAAAATACGATCAAATCCATATCCTGAATACCAGCGCTAAATGCTATGCATCTCTGCTTAAAATGTTTGTGACTTAATGGTAATATTGAACCAATCCACTGAAGATGCATAAATATCAGAAGCATGCCTATCAATTACAGTCTTCAATATCAGCAAAGAAAGATTCAAACAATCTTTAAGAATAAACTAAGTTTTAAAAGTTATTGTTTTAATTATCAAAACGCCGTTTTGACGTTTTTGTTCGTTTCTCTTTCTATTTTAAAAGTACTAAATTATGTATTCTATTTATCCACTCTTGTTTTCTCTGTCTTACGTACACATACGCATATTCATTCATGTTATCTTCATCATTTGTTGAACATTGTACAATTTTTCCTTACTATCTGAACAACATTATCTCTCCAAATATAAAAAAAATTGTAACAATCATATATGTTTATTTCTCTATAACACTGATAAGAGTATGATGTTTAGATAAAGCTATTGCTCAAATATTTTAAATGTAATTTGATGTAGTCAATTTATATTAGTGTATCTTTATAAAATGATCATTAAAATAAGATAATAACCATTTACAGATGACTTGTATCCTATTAATGTAATGCCCCTAACATTTCCCTTAGTTACCGTTTTCCTTTTACTCCCCTCTTTTTTGTCTCTTTATCTAGTTCTTTTCATTACTATTTTCTTAAATTATATTTATTGAGTTAAGAATAGTCAGAGTACTTCAATAAATTTTATATTCAATGTGTTATTATTGTTGTTGTTATTTTTGTACGTGTGTTTGTTTTTCATTTCAAATAGAAACAATCCCTGATACTATGGTAACTAATAGAAACTTGAGTTCTGTTTTTCTTCTTTATTAAATGATCTTGTTTTCATATTTACAATAATTTCCATTATTATATTTATATAATTGAATTATTTAGATTATTTTATCTTGACTTTTAGTATCGACGCTGGTTGTACAATTGTAGTTCCCTTTTTTTTTAAAATATAACTTTGCTTAATTTTTAAGTCATTTTTGAACAAAAGTAACAATATAATAACTCCATGTTTATTTAAATTAAGGCTCAGAAATATAATACAATAATTGTAATAAACTGTTTGTGGAGGGGGGGGCTATTTTTCCCATCATAGATATTAGAAAATGCAAATGACCAATCCTTATTGAGATATATACATCCTGAACGTAATAAATCGATAATAACTTTCAATAAAGAGGTTTTCAGCTAATATTTCAGTGGTGTGTTGTAGTAAAACCTATGATACAGAAATATCTAGATGATGAGTTCTATATGGGACGAAATGGGAATTTCGAATTCCTCTGACAGTTACAATTTGGCTTTACTAAAACCATCTAATTGAATAATATAATCGAGGCAGTTCATTTAAGATCCTCATGTGCCAAAAGAGATTGACTGGTTGTAGATCTTAATAGCGAAATCTGGAAATGAAAATCCTGTACAAACAATACGTTGCAGCAATTGGCTTATTTGTCTCCTTATCTATCCTCTGACAAAACAAGACACATTGTATTCAGATTCATTCTTACTTCCTTACACCAGTCAACCCTCGTGGAGGAGCATGAACCACCCACCAGTCCTAGTCAAACCTTTTCAGTTGCTATTCATTCTTTCGATATCTGCTTCCAATTCTTGACGCAGTGTGTTATTCGATCTTCTTCTTTCCTGTTCCGCTGAACGATTCAAAATTAGCGCTTGCCTCATCATGTGGTTTGATCACTACCACAATGTACGTCCTATCCACTACCAACGTCTTTTCCTAATTTATCTACCCATCAACTCGAAGCTGGTTTGTTCTCTCCCATAGTAGGTTGTCGTTGATGGTATCCGGTCAACGGACATTCAGCAGCTTGCGTTTAGAAATACCTGTAACTTCTTGATGATGATTGCAGTAGTTCTCCAATTTCCAGCTCCGTATAGTAGAACTGTTTCGACGTTCGTATTGAAGATTCTGACTTTGATATTGGTTGAGAGTTGTTTTGAGTTGCATATGTTGTTCAACTGTAGGAATGCTGTACTTGACTTACTAATCCCTGGATTTACGTTTGCATCACATCCTCCTTCTTCATCGATGGTGCTGTGCAGGTATGTGAAATTTTCCACCTACTCCACAGTTTCTATATCAAATATGGTTGAGTTGGTGTTCTCCATGTTGTATTTGATGATTTTGGTTTTTCTATTGTTTATGTTGAGATTCATTGATGCAGAGGCTGCTGCTACACTGGTTATCTTCATCTGCATTTGTTGGTATGTATGGGGTAGGAGGCTTAGATCATCTTCGAAGTTCGAATCGTCTAGTTAACTCTGAGCCGTTCATTGTATTCCGTGCTTCTCGTCAGATCTACATCTACGTCTTCATAATCCAGTCAACTAACAGTAGAAAGAGGAAAAGAGATATTAAGTGAACTTTTCTGACTGTGGTTCTCACTTAGAATGTATCTGTCAGCTGTCCTCCATGCAGCACTTTGTAGTGTGTTCCGTTGTGTGGATTTCGTATGATTTTAACGATTTTCTCAGGTACACCATAGTATTGGAGAGGGCTCCATAAGGCTCCTATATCCACGCTGTCAAATGCCTTTCCATAGTTAAGGAAGTTGATTTATAGTGATAGGTTTCATTCAATCAATTGTTTAACGCTGATCCGTAGTGTTTCGATGTGTTCTGTTCACTAGCGATCCTTACTTAATCCGGTTTGTTGATCTCGAAGCTGAGTGTTCGTTGAATCTTTCATCCAGTTTAACGAAACTGATTTTGAAGCCCACTGCTGTATAGGCTGCTGCCACACTGATTGTCTTTACCTGCATTTGTATGGGATGGATTCTTTCGCCAAAAACATTTTCGCCCTGACATGTTTCCTACTATATTTATTCTTTGCGATGAGAAGAATGGTAGAGATGAAACTAGTCGATAACCTTCACAAATCTTTACAAATAAAATGACATACAATTATTGTGAAAAGCTGGCATCTTTTAGTTTCATTTCTGAGCTTGAGTTAAAGAATCATACATGGAAGTGTTTTATATTTTGTGCTGACAATTTTATGCTGAAACCAGATATACAGGATCGAATAAAATGATTCTGGTTGTAAATAATGTTTTTTGTATTTATGATAGGAATGTCGGGCCTAGGTCTGTAATCATATACTATCCCAAAGTCAAATTGTAGGTGATAAGTCGTAAATGAGACTCACTATTGAAGAAAGCCAAGTATACCCTTAGTTCGAATCTCAGCCTATATTTTCTTGTTTGGATAAGAAGAATAAATATGTGTATACAGACAATTTGTGTATCCAATTGTTCAATTCGGGAATTAAAGCTTCCTAACTAAATCGCGTTCTTTTCACTCTGTTTTGGTAGTTGAGAAAGTATATAGGATGTGTTTGTATCTGAATTGGTCATTCACAGAACGTAACAGTTTATCCAATGGATTAAATAAACTCTTTTACGTTACAATAGAGAAAATCACCTCAATAAATTAATGCGAACGGAGTTATCCAACTTTATTTTTAAAAATAAGAAGTAAACTAGGTTATAAACATCGTCAATAAAATGTAGAGAACCCTACACGGATACATTAATTGAATAGTGAGAAGCTCATAAAGACCTCCAAATCCTCCTGGTTCGATAATATGTTCAGCTTGTTTCGGTTTGGATACCCCTCGCAGAATTGTTACCCAGGACCTGTCGGTCTCGTGAGCGAACGCTTAACTTGTAGACCACTGAGCGGGTTATAATAATTTTAATACCAAACTATTTATCCATAGAATCTTAGGACTTTTTGTCGGAAGTTTAATTAAGAATAAGAAAATGACTTTTTTACTCCACATAATCACGGAAAAATTCAAATTTTTGCCCAGATTTTGATCGGTTGTAAAATTCATCAAATTTCCAGTGTAACACCTTAGCAAATAAACTTATCAAAATCCATTTTTTCACTTAATAAACACATTAGATATACACATACCTGAACACAAAAGCCTGTTCATAAAAGTAAAATTATACTTATGATTTGTAGACCTTCTCATCAGGTAGGCAACACCAACAATACACTCATAATCCACAACTAAATAGTACAGATGTATATTTTAGATTCTACGTTGCTTGTAGCCAGGTGACTGGCTCAACAATCAACACTCAGTTGGTTCATAAAAAAATTCAAACTATCTACGGTATCCCTACTTATACCACATAACTTATAACACTCATCAGCCACAATTTATCATTGCATCAGTCAGCACCATTTCATATAGCAAACAAATGCACTCGTCAAACATGCACTAATAATCTATTCACTAATTAATATTCCCATCCATACAGGAACTGATAAGTACAGCCAATCTGTTTTAGTGTTTAGGTAGTCAAATCAGCTTGTGCTTTAAACTCTCGGTACACCATAGCGTATTTACGCAGATGGGATTTGAAAGTTACAAGAAAATATTTTTAGCTATTGATGTCGTATTATACACTAAATATTATTTGCTTAACAAGGGTTTTATGAAATTAAAGTTATACTAAGTTATTTATCGTTAGGTTGACATTAGATATTGAACTTGGCTGCAAGTCAACGATGTATATTATCAATTTCACTCAGTTCACGATAAGATACGATAATTATCCAGTTTCAGAATAGTACTAGTGACAATAAGTAACTTTATGGATAGATACCACTCATTCTATTGGAAAGACTCTTAGTTTCTACCAGCTTACTAGTTATGACAGAAAAATGGATTTGATAAGTATAGAAATGACAAAGGAAGATAATATGTTAATTTTCTCATGGAACTGATCACTAGGATGTGAAACTGAACAGATTGAATTAGTAGTTTACTAGTTGAATACATTATTAATGAAATTAAACAATATTATTCATTCCCGAGACATTTAACCAAGATAGAATCATTTATCAAACAATGAATGAAAATGAAGATCACGAGGTGGCAAATGTTTTTTTCTTACCTCTTCTGCCCGTTACATCACAGTAGTAGAGTACAATTATGTATGTGATTAAATCAATATTATGAAATTAGATTGGTTGTATTTTGTTAAAGAATTGGTTCCTTTTTTGTTATTGTGGTTTAATGTTTATTTTCGCGGGGTTTATTTTTCAGGTTGGATAGATTACAAATAAGAAAATTAACATATCAATTGTTACAAGCAGTGAATTTCTGTCATGCGCATAATGTAGGAAAATTTTATTCGATGTATTTATCATATAAATTCATTTTGTATTATTTGTTTGTATCTACCCTATTGATGTTTAGGATTGTACTTGATCAGTCTCTTATTGGCATATGTGTGCATCTTGTACGGATTGTCTTAAGTCATAAGCAAATAGGATGAAACGCGCGTCGTGGATTCCACTACTAGTCATCATCGGATTTATCATATATGTCAAAGAGCTATTTATGTCATTTCATAGTATCTTTTTTTGTTAAGTTACTAAGCTGAATTGGTCAAGTTCTTTGAACTAATGACATTCATCGACATTAGATCTTTATTTAGCCTTTAGTAAGATGAATAGTATCAAGAAAAATATATATTAATCCGAGAGAAAAACATCAAATGAATGCTAGAAATTTACTCATCATAAATTGCACTGATCGGCAGCATTAAAATAGGATCCTCATTTAGAGAATGTTATTTCAATATTGAATTATGTTTTTCTGGGTTTATAAATTAAATTATATGTAATGATTGAACTGAATTATTCGCTTAAATGAATTGGTAAGATTAGTTGTATTGAGAGTGAAACATTTAATCACTACGATAACACTGAATGAATGTTACAGTTCCAACCTACTTTTCAAGTTGTATTGTTCTTATCTTCAGAACCCAATGTTTAGTGTTCGATTTCTGTAGGTTAATTAGTAAGTGAGTGAATGGGTATTTCTTTAACATAAACTAGAACGAAACAATCTAATTTCCAATTAGTTAATAGATTAGTAATAGGTTTTATAATCAATCTGTTATATACTTCCAAACTAATCAATTTCAAATTAGCAACCTTTAGCACTTCAAGGTGATATTCAAAAAGCAATATCAATTCACAATCGTTTAACGAGTATCTTTATAGAAAATGCATTTATGAGATAGTTTATTCACTTTGAATTGACAGGAAAATTTGTACTGTGTAAGTCTAGGGTAGAAATAATACCATATTTGTACAGAAATATCTAAAAGGGTTAGTTTTCTTACTCGGAATAAGGCCTTATTCCCCTAAACCATTTAAAATTGTGTCAATCCTATTCGGCTATTTATTTATTTACTTTGAACGAGTGATTTCTGTCACGTCAAAGATGTCAGTGTTTTTTATTGGCTAACAATAGGTATAAAACGTTTCAATGTCGTTTTAAAAAAATTTCTGAAATTCAGTAGTATAGTGTAGTTACATCTATTCTCTTTGTAAAACTTATATCAAAATAGGAATTAGATTTATGGAGGAAACCAAGTTGGAAATAAAATGGATATACATAGATGTTATTGAACGAGAACTGTGTACCACATTACGAACTGACTGAATTAGTGATGATACCAGAGACTTTTAAGCTTCGTTTCCCTGTATCATCATAATTTTAGGCTAACTATGATTTTCAACCTAGGAGTAGCTGCCTAACTGACGTCGGCATATGTTTGAAATTACCTTACACTACCATTCAGTTTGCGCCAAACTGTTTATTTTAAATAATTGTTGTCATTCATTTGTAAGAATTTATATTATCAAGTTGTTAATTTTATGAACTGCAATTGATAAGTCTTTGAAAGAAAGTGTAAATCCTGAGCAAATTACAACGACATACTCATTTATCCACAGAATTTATTACTGTTGGATAGTTATTAGAAGTGAAATCCAGGACTTTCGCTTTGTCCTACTAGAGACTTGTCAGTTAGATGCAACAGCATCGAAATACTGATGTTCAGTCCGGGACTCTAACCCAGCGCCTTTAGCTTCAAGTGTCAAGGTATTATTCAATGAGCTGCTGAACCACTAGCTTGTGCAACGAGTGTGTATTTTTAGTTTTAAGAATTTGTATTTTTTCGTTGTTAGAACTTGTAATTTGGATGGGACTGTGAATTTCTGAACATGGTAGCTTATTGGATAACCCCTTGGCGTTCGAACCAAATGACGATGGGTTTGGGTCCGAGTATGGATATCAACATCGAGATGCGGATTCATCCAGTTGACAATTCCTGGATGGGATGAAACTCATATCCTATATTCCAATGCTAAACACTAACCGATTTTAATAAATAGTCGATGTTATTAGGTATTCTAAATGTGTATTTGTCTATAATTTAATCTGTTAACTTATGATTATTTGTATTTTAGTGCATTCATCGTGATGTTAAACCAGAGAATATACTTATTACAAAATCTGGTCAGTTAAAGTTATGTGATTTTGGTTTTGCAAGATTATTAAGTGAGTTTAACTCCTCCAACTTAACATTATTTGTTTTGATAACAATAATATAATATTCAGTATGAGGCTATGGGACTTGTTGAATTCCACTGAAATTACTGACCGATTTAAGTTACACAACCGTTTAAAATCTGGAAGCGTTGGACGGCCTGAATAGCTTTTATCTATGATCCCACAACAGGGAGTTAAACACAGGAATTTTCATTTCACGTGTGAACACTTAACCACTAGATCACTAGGACCTGATCCAGTGGTGTATAAGTCTAACTAAAATCAAACAGCGACCAGTGTAGTTCAATCGTGTCGGGTGTAAGCGAGTTGTCGAAAACAGTGGGAGATAGTCGCGTAATAGTGTAAGTTAATTGAAGTTAAACTAGTATACCATAGGATCCGGGCTTAGTAGTCTGAAAGCTAGAAGTTCATATATAAAACTAAAGGTTCGAGATCCGATTCTCCTTTGCGGGCAAACACATTTAACATAGATATTTCCTAAATAATTTATATTTTCTATCATTGAGACCTAGAAAATGACTTGACTTGAAGCTTTTACTTGTCTGGTAAATTGTATCATAATCCCCTAACTAATAATTGAATTCATGAGTTAACTGAAGCTAGACTACCAAGGAAAACCTGGAAGCACGCGAACGTTTAACATTTAGACCAATTTCGTTGTTTGGTTGAAGTTAGACATTAACACAGTTGGATGCCTGTTCAGTGGTCTAAAGATTAAGAGTTCGCACACGAAACTGATAAGTCCTGGGTTCGAATCTCGCGAGGCGGAATCGTGGATGTGCACTGCTGAGGAGTCCCATACTATGATAAAACGGCCGTCCAGTACTTCCAGGTTTTCCATGAATTCAATTATTAAATCACCACAATCTCCATAAAACTCCTCTCTGACTATAATCCCCTATCTACTTAGTGTAAAATATTTTTTGGAAAAAGCCCCTTACAATATCCTTTATTGTAGATAGTCGAGCCTAAAACATATTTCAGTTCATTGGCTTGAGATCATATCAAATATAACTTTGAATAGTAACCTATAACGATCATGATATAGTTATCTCTTACTTTCTTCATAATAATGAGATGATCTTCCTTAAATAAATAATATCAGAATGGGTTTTGTGGAGATTTTTAGAAATTTCACTGGTTGAAATCATGAGTCAGTTGGCGCAACTTCGTGGATTGGTTGAAGTTAGACATTAACACCGTTGGATGCCGGCTCAGTGGTCTAGTTGGATAAGCGCCTGGCGCGAGACTGATAGGTCCTGGGTTCGAATCTCGCGGGGGGCGGGGTCGTGGATGCGCACTGTTGAGGAGTCTCATACTATGATAAAACGGCCGTCTAGTGCTTCCAGGTTCTCCATGGTGGTCTAGTTTCAACTGACTCATGATTTCAACCAGTGAAATAAATAATAGTCTTTCTTGACTATTTCTTCAACTGAACTATATCACTCATTACATATAGTTTCTTTTCAATGGTTAATCAAATAGTTTACTCTTTTCTATTATAGTTTTTCTTACAAATTTATTAAGCCATTTATAATGGTAGATATTTCTCAGTACCTTACACAATACTCAAAATCTATATACTTTAAATTGGATAAATAAATAATTATCACTAATGGAAAACAATTAGTTTTGTTTTATTGATCGGGATAATGTAAATGAGATGAAGATTAAAGAACACAATCTGACCACATATATACTTGTTATATATATATAGGAAGATAACAGAAAAACAATGGTAGTTAAGAAAACAATATTATGAATCGTATCATATTGAATAATAAGTTAAAAGTACCTCTTAAAAAGATTATTGATATTGTACGTAATTATATCTGATTAAATAACTTTCTACTATTATTTTTTTTCAAAACGATTAACAATTTATTACCAGTAAAAGGGTTGTGGAGATTATTAGGTTTTTGATTGAGATCATGAATCGATCGATGCTAGACCACCGTTGGAAACCTGGAAGCACTGGACGGCCGTTTTGTCCTATTGTGGGACTCCTCAGCAGCGCGCATCCACGATCCTGCTCACGGAATCGAACCCAGGGCCTTCAGTCTTGCGCGCGAACGCTTAACCTACTGGACAACTGAGACGGCCGGTATTCAATGGTATTAATGTCTAACTTCAATCAATCCAAGAAATTACGCGACCATCTTCCATTGTACTGAGGTAGATACCTGTCTCTACCCGACATGGATTAACTCCATTGGTCACGGCTTCTCACTAGAACTCCGAGAATTCCCTCACGAAGCTAGTCACTAGTGAGCCTTGACCAATGGAGCTAATCCATGTAGGGTAGAGACAGGTATCTACCTCAGTACAATGGAAGATGGTTGCGCAATTTCGTGGATTGGTTGAGGTTAGACACTATCATCATTGGATGCCGGCTCAGTAGTCCAGTAAGTTAAGCGTTCGCGCGCAAGACTGAAGGCCCTGGGTTCGAATTCCGCGAGCGGGATCGTGGATGCGCACTGCTGAGGAGTCCCACAATAGGACGAAACGGCCGTCCAGTGCTTCCAGGTTTCCAACGGTGGTCTAGCATCAATCGATTTATGATCTGAATCAATAACAATTTATTATTATTCAATGGTAACGTGACAATAGATAGCCCTTTAAGAATCCCTGTTAGCTGATGTATTTTTAGCAGAAGTTGAAAGTTTACTTGAAGATTCAATTTAAAAAATATACCTATATATGTAGTATGTGGATGATATTATAATCATAAGTGACAAACATAAAAATATGAACGGCTGGTTAAAAGAACTCAACATAATTTTAAAAAAACTTGTTTGTCTTACATGTGAAGAAAAGATAACCAACTTATTTTTTAAGATGTATTAATTTGTAGACGAAATGATGGTTTCATCAAACTTTTGGTATGTAAAAAGTCCAAATGAACAGTTTTCATAATCATTGGCCAGTTCTGTTCAAACCTAGGTTGATAAAGAGACAATCGTATGTGCACTAGCGATACAAGTGAGGGAAAAGTAAAGCTCTTAACTGAATCACTTATGGAAAATGGTTATTCATTGAAGTTCATGAACCAATGGAAAGGTCGCAATATGATGATACCTACTAAACTATTGGCACCCAAAAACGTTTTAATATCACTCTACAATCTAGAGGTAACTCAAATAGCCTTACGTTGAAATGAAGACTTAAATTAGTGATAAATAGGACATTTACGCAGCCTTATTCATCATTACCGAAAAGTCAAAGTCTATGTTTTATCAAAAACTCAGATGCCATGTAGATGATTGTGTCACATCCTACTGCGTCTATCAGTTTACATGGATAGGGAGGAGCAATTGTGATCTCAAAGTAGGGTTGTTTGAACGCATACCTAGGTAGCTAAATGAACAAACGAATTCCAGTAGTCAAATAAGAACACTGAATAGACAAACATATTGTATTGTGAAACATTTGGTTGTGACAGGTTATTGTATAGATATCAAATCGAACCCTCAATTACTGGAAAAGTGTTTAGGCGTGTATACTAGGGTTTGTTGAAGCCTTTTCCACAAAAAATTCAAATTCCCTTTATGTGTTCAAAAACCATTTGTTCACATCCTGAGCCTACCCTAGTTGTATTAATTTATTGTTCAACATGGTAAGCTTCATATTATTTTCTTCATTATCTTCGTTTAATCTTACTTTCTGATTTGTCTGGAAATGCAATTGCGCTAATATATACCATATAGATTTGTTATCCTTCCTTTTTTATTGAATTATCGAAAAATCACTAAATTCACTTTCTAGTTCCTTTCTGTTCTCTTCATTAGCTGGACCAGGTGATGAATATACTGATTATGTGGCAACACGATGGTACAGAGCACCAGAATTACTCGTTGGTGATACACAATATGGTACACCAGTAGATATATGGGCTATTGGATGTGTTGTTGCTGAAATGTTGACTTCTCTACCATTATGGCCTGGTCGATCAGATTTAGATCAGTTGCACTTGATTACACAAACATTGGGTAAGCAGTAGATAAGATTGAGTCATTTTTATGTACACTATTGGTTTATTGGATCTATATAAAAACGGTTGATATTACCTTCTCCTAAGGTTAGGGAAGAAAATAATTAGGCAGCTGTAATCAGTGGAAAAAGACAAAACTCACTAGTAATATTCACCATTGGTTACATGATATCGTTAAAGTTTACTATACTTGAAGATGTTGTTCAATGAATTTCAAAATAATGATTTGAATGTATTGTAATTACTGTGAGAATTGAAGTTTTGAGTTGGATCTCATTTTTGAATTGTAAGTGTACATAGCTGAATTGTCTCGAACTGTCCACTGAATCTTATTTTTTAACAATTTTCTAAATGACCCCACTTCATGATTTAATAACTTAAAAATGAACTAGTCTTCACAGAATACTCATCTTTATTGCTATGACATGTGATATCTGAGAAGCGATACTGATACACACCCTTTCTATACACGAACCTGGCTATCTAAGAGAAAAGACAGAGTGTGAAGAAAGTTTGTTTTGCTCAACTGAACCACATTTCCGTACACCCATTCATATATGTATATAGGTATGTACCCTCTTTAAGGAAGTTAAACTATCACTACTTTATATCCTATATTTCGGGGAAGAAAGCCATTTCTTGACCGATCATATGCACTTATTATTTGGCCGATTCCTAACTGACACATTGTATTGCCTTTCCGTTTTGAAAAATTAGTCCGTTATTCGAATTTAACTAGTATTAAGATGGGTGTACAATACTCATCATTAGTTAATGTACTGATTAATTGAAAAGAACTTAATCATTTTTCTTTCTTCATATATTTTTGTGCTTATATAGGTGATTTGGTACCACGTCACAGAGAAATCTTTGAGAAAAATTGTTTTTTTAAAGGTTATAAATTAATTGTTCCTGAAAATCGAGTAAGTGTCATAGTTACATGGTTTCTTTGATTAATTTTCAAAAGGACGAGAAAGTAAACAATAGTTTGAACAAAATAACATGAATCCATTTTTAAGAGAAGATGAATGGTGGCTAGCAGTGGAATCTAGGACACGCGTTTCGTCATTTTTGAGACTCGTCAGCTGGATGTGCCTGTGGATCAATTGCAATCCTAAACATTAATGGAAAGATTCGAACAAATAATATAAAGTGAATGGACTCATTTTGTTTTGTTTCTACGCCTTTATCAACCGCATACAACTCATAATATTTATTTGAAACTAAAAATTATAGAATAAATGAAAAATACTTACCGAAATGATTTCTGTTGTAAGTCAATGTGAGCACGCAAATTATCATTGTATAGAAAAGATATTCAATAAAATTTCAGAAACTGTCTTGACTTCAATCTATATGGGCTGGTACTGTGTCAGCTCATTTATGTTATTCTAGCCTCTGGACAGACTAATCTATTGGTTCTTCTCAAGCCACATCTTTACCCTGTCACTTATTCGCTTACTAATTCTGACTTTTTTTATATGATCGTATACGTGCTAATTACTTACCCTACTCATTATGTGTCTGTAACTTATTTTTGTTCGACGCTTGGCTAAATTAATTTTGCTAACACGTCTTCTCCACCGCGCATCGTTTCGTTTCACTTCACTCTATTTTCTTCGCTTCGTTTCTTTGATCGTCTGCCTGGATCAATGATTGTACACAATATATATATATATTCAAATTCCATTCTTGTGTTTGACTTATTTAATTCCGTTATTCACTAACGCAATCTAAGTCGATAATTGTATACGAAGATTAGCAACATGCGTATTTCAATAACAATCAGAAGCGATAATAAATGGAGTCAGATACTGGGCCACAAAAAAAAATAATTGTTACACTAAGCTAATGTACATTCAAATTAATTTTCAATCAAGTTTTCTGCCGTTGTTGATGAGATCCTAAGGGGGGAGGAGGAGAATGAATTCTCACATTTATTCTTGTTTTTTACTGATTGAGTATGTACAGAATTTATTTGATCGTTAAAGTAAGAGTGTAATACATTGTAAATATTTGAATAGATTTGTTATATTAGTCACATTTGTCTAGTGAGTGCTTAACTAGTTTGTACTTCGTACTGAAAACCTGAATCGAATGTTGCGTAATGAAAACTAATAAAACTGATAGTTTGTATTAGTCACATATTTGTATGATATTAATATACTTGGTTAAATAGTTGAACTAACACATATATGTATGAGGTATACATTGAAATGTATTCTGTTATGCATGTTCTTACCTACTGCAAACCAGCTGTATTTGAGTTAAATAAACTGAGTTATTTAGAAGTTACATCCCCGTATTCTTACTTAATCAAATCCTTATTAGTTTCTATAGGAAATTCGCATTATATTATGATGTAATAGTAAATTTATACTTGTATTCTATCATATTTTCAGATTAATCGTCATATTCTATTTCCTAATCCGTTGATTTTTATTTCCATAGAAAGATTTGGGTGAGAAATTCACTTCGTTACAACCGCCAATTACTTCGAAAGAATTAAATTTTTTACAGGTAGGATAATAGGTTATCATTATGTTTATGATAGTTATTATATTTACTGAAGAAAGTAACCCCCCTTTCCAATGATTTTCATTTTGGCTGAAAATGGAGTATACCAACTATAAACTGATTTGTGTATTTAAGAGTAAGCAGCATCTGCCTTGTATTATATAATGATATTAAATGACATAGTTCAGTAAACTGTAATAAATGATTAAACCTTATATATACTCATATGTATGGATAAATGGGTGCTAATTTTCATTGAGCTGATATTTCCACTGTGGCTGAGAGTAGATTCTATGACATCCGTTTCGTCCCATTTTAGGACTAGTCAAGTGGATGTAAATTCAAATCAGTGTCGGTTTTGAGTGGTTTTCAGAGATTAGATATCTAAGAATGAACATCAGCTGTAGAATGACTGAAACCAGACACTCTAGATAGATGTTTCTTCACAGTTCGGGTCTCAGATGTGCACACACATGAACTCAGACAGAATCGACTTTAGTATATATAAAGCTGACTGATAAAATGATTCCATTCAACCAGTGAGTTTTAATTCAGTGATCAACAGCTCCACCTATAGTCGATTTGCGATATACTGAAACGATCATATAGACCATAGGATCTAAGTGTATTATCGTTACTTTCAAAGTTAAAGACACTGTATTCTCAATGCTGTTCAAACTCTATCGATCAAGTTGTGATATGGTCACTAGTCTCGGTTTATATATATATATATATATATATATATATATATATATATATATATATAGCTTGCGCTATTTAACGTTATATGATTAAAACCGACTGATAGAAATCCATTAACATTGAAGGTGTAGGAATTTTATATGAGGTTTGAAAAAGCATTGATCGTGTTCGTCTTAATAAATGAAAAGGAAGAAGAAGTCAACTACCAGAGATTAGCTAATATGTTCATTGTTAGTTTCCTTTTGATTCAAACCTGAAAGCCTTCTGATTTTACATCCGATACATCAAAAATAAATGGCTGACTAATTATAGAAGAGAATCTTAAAAATCATTAGTTATACATTATTATATATTGCAAGAATAGTTTATTGGTTTATGCACTCCGTTTTTTAAAAAGTGAAAGTAGATTCGAAGCCTGATACACTAAATTTGTTTCAGCAACCGGGGAGCATCACACAATGCAACCCAAAACGGGGGATATAAACCTGTACTTATTAAAATAAGTCACATAATTGATTGGCTGTTCAAGTATAAACGTATCACGTGCCAAGGCTCAGATATCATCTTAACGTCAAACGTCGGTTGTGAGATTATAAACGATGTATGTTATTGAAAGAAGTGGCTAAATTAAACTATAAATGTAAGCCAATGATGAATGAGTACGTCGCTTCAAGGTCACATTACACATATCAAATAAGCATGTCGTCAATGGACGACGAATTGTGTGAAATAACGAAGGAACTGCTGCCGGTTGATGGAAACATAAAATCTTTTACTTAAAAGTGTTATACTTACTTACTTACTTGCGCCTGTTACTCCTCGTGAAGGAACATAGGCCGCTCACCAGCATTCGCCATCCAACCCTGTCCTGGGAAATCCTTTCCAGCTCCTTCCGGTTTTTATTCATCCTTTTTATATCTGCTTTTATTTCCCGACGTAATGTGTTCTTTGGCCTTCCTATTTTCCGCCTTCCTTCAGGATTCCAAATCAGGGCTTGTCTCGTGATGCAGTTTGACGATTTGCGTAGTGTATGACCTATACATTTCCATCGTCTTTTCCTAATTTCCTCTTTCAGCTAAAAGCTGGCTTGTCCTCTCCCACAAAAGGCTGTTGCTGATTGTATCCGGCCAGTGGATGATTAGTATCTTGCGTAGACAGCTATTTATAAATACTTGCACCTTCTTGATGATGGTTGTTGTAGTTCTCCAAGTTTCAGCTCCATACAGTAGAACTGCCTTGACATTCGTATTGGAGATTCTCACTTTGATATTGCTTGAAAGTTGTTTTGAGTTCCATATGTTCTTCAATTGTAGGAATGCTGTCCTTGCTTTGCCGATCCTCGCCTTTACGTCTGCATCTGAACCTCCTTGTTCATCGATGATGCTTCCTAGGTATGTAAAGGATTCTACGTCTTTCAGAGTTTTGCCATCAAGAGTGATTGGATTGCTGTTCTCCGTTTTGAATTTGAGGACCTTGGTTTTCCCCTTGTGTATGTTGAGGCCTACTGAAGCAGATACTGCTGCTGCACTGGCTGTCTTTATCTGCATTTGTTCATGTGTATGCGATAGGAGGGCCAGGTCACCTCAGAAGTCCAAATCATCTAATTGATTCTGAGCTCTCCATTGTATTCCGTGTTTTCCCTCATATATCGAGGACTTCATAATCCAGTCGACTACCAGAAGAGGAAGGAAGAGAGTAAACAGCCTTGTCTGACTCCGGTCCTTACTTGGAATGCATCTGTCAGCTGTCCTCCATGCACGACTTTGCACTGTAGTCCGTCGTATGAGTTCCGGATAATATTGACAATCTTCTCAGGAACTCCATAGTGTCGAAGAAGTTTCCATAACGTTCTCCTATCTACACTGTCAAATGCCTTTTCGTAATCAATGAAGTTGATGTATAGTGACGAGTTCCACTCAATTGATTGTTCGACGATGATCCGTAGTGTTGCTATTTGGTCTGTGCACGACCGATTCTTACGGAATCCAGCTTGTTGATCTCGAAGTTGGGCGTCTACTGCGCCTTTCATCCGGTTCAGCAAAGCTCTGTTAAAGACTTTCCCTGGTGTTGACAGTAGTGTAATGCCTCTGTAGTTTTCACATTTGCTCAGGTCCCCTTTCTTTGTAATCTTGATGAGGTGTCCTTCTTTCTAGTCCAGTGGCGCTTGTTCCTCCTCCCAAATCTTTTTGAATAGAAGGCGAAGCAGATTTGTAGTTACTTCGATGTCTGATTTCAGTGCTTCAGGTGGTATGTTGTCGGGTCCTGCTGCTTTCCCGCTCTTGATTTGTCTGATGGCCATTCTGATTTCTTCCGTCGTTGGTGGATTGAAATCTATAGGAAGGTCTGTGTGTGATGCTTCGATGTCCGGTGGATTCATTGGAGCCGGCCTATTCAGGAGTTCCTCGAAGTATTCTACCCATCTGTTCCGCTGTTGTTGAATTTCAGTTATTGGCCTGCCTTCTTTGTCCTTGACCGGTCTCTCTGGTTTACTGTATTTCCCTGCTAAATTCTTCGTTGTATCGTAAAGTTGTTTCATATTTCCTTCTCTAGCAGCTTTTTCCGCCGTCTTTGCTAGTTCTTCCACGTATTTCTTCTTGTTGGCTCTAATGCTCCTCTTCACTTGCTTGTTTGCTTCTATGTACTCAGCTTGTGCTTGGACTATCTCTGTTCGTGTTCGGCTGTTGTTAACTGCTGCCTTCTTGTTCTTCCCTTCTTTGATCTCGTCCAGTGTTTCTATAGAGATCCATTCCTTATGATGATGTTTCTTTAGGCCCAGAACCTCTTGACACGTTGGAGTCAATGTTTCTTTGACGCCTTTCCAGTTGTCCTCCATAGTAGTTTCTTCTTCCTTCAGTAGATCTTGAAAGGCTTGGAACCTGTTGTTGAGAGCTATCTTGAATTCACTGAGTTTATCAGTATCTCGAAGGAAGGCTGTATTGAACCTTTGTAGTGCTGTTTGTCCAGTTTTTCTTTAGCTTCAGTTTTAAATTGGCTACAACTAGGTGGTGATCTGAAGCTACGTCAGCACCTCTCCTGGTTCTCACATCTTCCATTGTCCTTCGGAACTTTTTATTGATGCAAATATGATCTATCTGGTTCTCTGTAGTGTGGTCCGGTGAGATCCATGTAGCTTTGGGTATACGTTTGTGTGGAAATATTGTGCCTCCTATGACCAATTTGTTGAATGCACACAGATGTGCAAATTTTTCTCCATTTTCGTTTCTCTCACCCAGTCCATGTCATCCCATGATATTTGGTGAGGTCCTTTCTTGGGCACTTCTCTGTGATTGACTGCAGCCGCTCGTAGAATTGGTCTTTGATGTCGTCGTTGCTATCATTGGTGGGTTCATAACATTGGATGATATTCATTGTGATCCCCTCCTTCTTTGTTTTGAATGATGCTTTGATGATTCTGGATTCGTGAGATTTCCATCGTACAGGTGCATTTCGTGGTTCTTTGGACAGCATTTGAGTAACTCCCTGAGTGTGTGGAGCATTTCTCACTTCGTGGCCGGAGTACAGCAGCATCTCTCCCGTATTTAGCCTTTGTTGTCCAGCTTGGATCCAATAGTTTTCGCTGATTCCCAGTACTGCCAATTTGCATCTCCTCATTTCTGTTGCTATTTGACTGGTCTTCCCGGTCTCCCACACTGTTCGGACGTTCCATGTACCTATAAAATTTTTTGCTCTGGTTGTTAGAAGGGGCATCGGCCTCGTGGTTTCCTATAGAATTCGGCTTTCACCATGAGGCGTCATAATTCTTCTAAATGAAGACCTTCTAACTCCCAGGGCAGAGTTTAAATGGTTTGAATTGTTTTTTCTGGTTAGCGTTTTCTAGCGAGTTAGTTTTCTACGGGTTGGGGACGCTAACCCCATGCCCGGGCTTGGGACCGGCAGTAACTCCGGAAGAGCTACAGGCGGAGTTTAAAAAAAACGTATTTGAAGAACGATTAGGACGTAGAGTTTAGAGTTCAGTCAGGGTTAGGCTGTACAATGTAACTTGAGCTAAACTTAATACAAATCCTTAAATTTTTAACCCTAAATTACAAACTACAAATCTTAATTCCAACTCTAAAACCTATACTATGGATTTTAATCCTAAATACTGAGTCTGAATCTTAATCATGGCATCATAAATCGGTCATTGATATTTCCAGTATTCTTATTGGCTTAATAGGTTAACAGATTGTTATTTTAGTTCACAGATCCCCTCAAGCTTGACCTTTATATTCAGGTTTGCCAAAGAAGTCAATGATGTACCTACTCAAGGTATCAGTCAACATATCTTCGTCTAGGTCAGAAGAACAACCGTATACATGCCTATGATTTCTGTGCATTATAGTTTAGTTTAGTGATTAAACCTTCGTTCTCATTTCAGTCTTCTAAATTAAATAGTAGACTGGGTATCCCGTCGTAGGAAAACTTCAAGTCATTCAGTTCTTTCTATTAAACGCCAGTTTCGTAATTATTGAATTATTTATTTTCATGAAATTTAGAGCTGTTTAAGCATGGATCCTACAGAACGACTTAATAGTGAGGCATTGTTAAAACATCCATATATGGAAATGCACGGAAGACACCCACATTATTATCATGGTGAATTAAAACAAGTATGTAGTTCATGTGGAGATGGTTATAATAATCATGGAATGAAAAAAAAAGCTGAACGTAATTTCATTCAAAATTCACAAAATAAACCAGTTATGATTAATCAAATTAGTACTGGGACAATGATCCCAAGACGTAAATATCAACAACAGCAAATTCCGCAACAATCTACTGATCGAAATCAAACAACTGCTACACCACAAAATGAGTCCAATTCAATTTCACCGACATGTTTCCCTCCAACTAGTAGTATTACTCCAAGTTTTAATGCTGGTCGAACAAATTGGTTTGTTCCAGGAATTGTTGGTCAAAGTCTATATAATGTACGTACAAGTAATTAGTTAAAAGAATTCCTTATCAAAATTTATTATTATTATACTTTAGTAAACTTTTATGCACATTAATTTTAACAGTTGCTTAAATAAATCAGATGTAAAATGAACCTTTAAAGGTTGGATCTATGAAAAACTTTACATCATTACAGATTGATTTTCGCCAGATAATCATTGGTTTTGATGTAACAAGCCCTGAAGATCTGCTACTTCTTTGATCTCTCACTCAGTCATCAATTTGAAGTACTGAATATTGTATAACGAGTTGAAATATCTATTCAGAAATTGTTTAACTAAAATCAGTTCGTGAAGTAAACTACAATAATTTTATAACCAAAATAATTAGTAGTTATAAATTACAATTAGTGTCATTTACAAAAAAGCATAAATGGGAAAACTAGTTGATTATTGATCATTATAACGTAACACTGTTCCCCCAGAGGCTTGTATAGGATGAAGATTGTGGTATGATATTGTCTCCTAATTGTTCAATTTTGTCCTTGGTGTATTTATATCAATAAGTGTGAAGCCTCTGAAAATTCAACGGGAATATCGATAAATAAACTATTTTTTCTCCCAAAAACAAGCTTTCATCCAACATCTATTTATTGTTGATTTCATAAAATTGAATATATGACAGTTAATAATTTTATATTCAGACTCTTCAACTAAGCATATGACCAATTCACACAATCAAAATAAAGGATGAATATGATATTCAAATATGTAAAATATAAAGCTGAATCATATTAAGTGTTTGACTAGCAATGAAATCAGGGATACACATTTCGTCTTATTTGAGACTCGTCAACTGAATCAATCTCAATCCCTTACTATGAAATTGAATTCTGTGTTTATTATTTGTAATTGTATTCATAAACATTGATTGCCATAATAGAAAAGTAATCATATCAATTAATGGCCTCTTCTGTAATTGTGTCTATGCCGTTTTTTTTTGGTTAGTTCACTTGACTTTTAACCTAATGATTCTAAGTGAAAACTGACTGTAAAATGAAACAAAAAATCACTATAAACCAATGAATAGAATGTTAATGTAACGATAACTAGTAAATTAAACAATTAGATCCTAGTAAGGATGTTATCTTCATTAATAGTCATATGTTTGATTTAGTGTGAAGTAATAGGTGTACACTCTTAAAAAGTTAAAAACTAGAATGAAACTGTTTAATTTCGTCAAACACTGACCGACATTTAAAATTATTTGTTGTCGACATAGCTGAATATAATGCAGTAGTCAAGTAAAATTTAATAGAATTAACTTTGAGCTTGTATTTGATATCTATGTATCTGTCCAAGTAAAATTTATGGGAATAACCGTCAAAAAGTTTACATATTAATTGTAATATGTAATTTATAATATCAAGTGTGCAATTGACAAATATATGTTCACTGACATCTAACGGTTAGTTCAAATATGATACTACTCAAGTTACATTCAGATACTTAACAATGAATTTGCTTTCATCTGATCATAGTTCTTGTAAAAAAACTTATCAACTTTGATTTATTGTGAATAATTTTAAAAAATTACTAGTTATGTGACCTGGAAATTCAAGTCTGCTTAGTATTATAGATGAATACTGTACCATAATGAAATTTAATCATTACAGTTTACATCATGGACTGAGTTATGTCTGTTGTTGCCGTAGTTATATCCACGTGTCGTCGCTGTTATCTCTTTGTCGAATCGGTTTTGTTCATGGCCTTATTGTTTCGAATCATCAATTGAAAATTACTGTAATTCAACGATCCTACTGCTTATAGTTGGAAACAGTAACCATTTCAATTTTACATGACAAGAAATGAAAAAACAAAAACCTCTAGAAATGACTGTAAAACCACATTCCCAAACAAGTCCCGAAATCATGTTGCCTTCATACCAAAATACAATCATTTATATATTAATTTTATATACTTAGTAGTATCAGATATTGGCGAAAATACATAAAAATAGACACAGAATACAATTTATCTAGATTAATACAAGTAATATAAATATCACATTGAATGAAAGTTCATACCTGTCACCCTGGTAGAAATTCTCTATGAATCGGTACAAAAAATACCGACTTAAATAATGTCATCTTTTTATCGCGTTATCAGACTGAACTTTGTTAGACAACCATTGAAGTCTAGAAGTCAACGGACAGCTTTTTACTTTTCAGTATGAACCTTCTCAATAGTATGCACCTATGACCTTTCCGAGGACCATCAGATTTAATGGAGAGAGCTTAATCTTTAGACCTTCTGAGTTGAGATCTAATGGTTTATATCTCTAACTTTAATCAATTCACCGCTAGTGAAATTAAAATGTAAATGATACATACTAAATTATTAGCAAAATATAGGTTTATGCACTGAGTTCTAAGGTGTAGCTTACGTGTGTATATTAAGTATTTCTTTTTGGCCCTTCAAAGTAAGGGAGGTAAGTGTATTTTGAACCTGTGAGACTCAATGTTTGCGATTCAAGTCAAAGTTTAGTGTAAGGATAAGTTAATTAGAATACAGAAAACTACTTTCAAGTTTTTGCGCGAATTTCAAAAATGAATGATAATGATGATAATAATCTATCAGTGCACAAAATACACATTAGAAATACCTTCATAAAGGCTCTCAGAACCTTTAGAATTGTTAGGAAAAATTCTTTTTTATCTTCATATTGAAAAAATCACATTGGTCAACATATCAAGTGCTCACTTTTTATTGTAGAGATTTTACATAACAAATGAACCGATCATTTTTCTTGGCACAATTTACTTTATTTGTAATAGACTTACAAAAATGATCACTTGAGGTGAAAATACAGGAATACTGAAATTACATAATAACTTCTACGCATGACTTCATCATAGCAACATAGTGACCATTATTCTCTTATGGTTTAATTTTCGATACCGCAGTGAATTTTTCAATGTTTTTCTTAAGTCATGATGAATTTTACATAAATAAACATGAGAAAGATTCAGAAAAAAAATGAATTAGTATGAATCAATTCACACTCATATTAATGATGTTATATGGCGGTATTTTTACGAAATTAAATTCGGAAAATTGATAATATGCCTTTTAAAAAAGGCGATAAACATTTCCAAAACCACTGAGTTCGAAAAGGTTACATTCTTTCTGTTGCGAAATACATTTGATTCATAGAGACTCTCTGCTAATTAGTGAAAGTTAGCTTTAAAACAACTCGATTTTGTTAAGATTCTTTCAAAATTGTCCCTATATCATACTTTTACTGAGATTCATGAATGATCCAATCAACAAATCGTCGCCTAGCTGTAATTGGTTGTCTAGACATTTTTTAAAGCATATCAGTCTTAATGTATCATGAAATTAAAATATTCTCAAAACATCTAATTCTTTGACCATTTTCTATGTTCTTTATTTACACATTTGTCTTTATCAAATGATCGTTGTAGCCGTCGCAAATAGGACTGCCTGCTCTGCCAACTAATCCACATTTACAACCAATCCCAGTAACTACTACATCTACACCATCAAACAACAATGCTCAATCAATGATGATGGTAACAGGTAATCAGAAATCTAATTTAGGATGGAAATATCCTAAATCAAATCAAATGATTATGACATCAACAAACAGTAACAATTCGATATCATATTTCCCAAATCCGGACATTAATAATAATAATAACAATAATAATAATAATTCATCAAATATAGACAATGGGCATAATTCTAACGATACAAACGTTGCACACAGTACACTTCAATCAAATTTGATTGGATTACACCTACCGAACATATAAAAAAAGTGTCTTTTCCTCCACACTTAACCTTTCTCAAACACAGATCTAGTGTAAATGTGTTACATATGGTTAGTAGTAGTATTAATATTACCAACCTAATTAGTGACTTCTTTCATAAGTAAAATGATACACACATTACAAACAATATTATAATAATAATGGCAAGTAAATTATCTAAGTACATTTAATTATTGAAGTTTTCATTTCTCTCTTTCTATATTATCTTACAATCTGAAAAGTAACCGAATATTATCCTTCCTATTGATTATGTTCAAAGAAATTGTATATAAACTCAAGTGAATATTAATTACTTATAATTATCTCTTTATTAAAACTACTTTCATACGGATCTGTGTTTTGCTTTAATGATTGTGATAGATTTTCTTTATTTATTTATTTAAACACATATACATTGGTACAAGGAGGCACCAAAGAGATATGCGCCACATTAATCATTCGATTTGTGTGAGGGCTAAGATACTGCCATGGTGCCCAGATCGAAGCAGGTGGTTTTCTTAGGGGTCCACACCCGGAGCCTTTGACCTAAAGGTCTGACCCACTAGGCAGTGGAGCATCGTGAGGAGATGCAGTCCCATGGTAGCCGGTGACCAACGATTGGTTCATACGTCATTTGTTCCCTCAGGATACTGGAGCCCATGTACACCATTGGTTTGGAATCCGGTTAAAGCGCTGGACATTCGCTTTTCGTCCTCCCAATTTCGTAAACAACACCCTCGCCACGAGAAGGCAGTGAGTAGGACTTCCCTGGCAGAAGCTGTATACGCGTGGCCGTGTGAGAGCATTTCGAGAGGGAGGGCGGGCCCACCCCTCTCTCGGCCATACCAAGGCATTTGGGGGCGATATACTGGTTATGGGACAAAAATCTACGCACTATTAAAACTATTTGTAATAGAATTAAACAGGGTTCTACGGCGAATATATTTGAATTAAATGAGCTAAGATGGTGTTGTTAACAGTTTTAACTACACCTTTGATTAACCACAATGGGAGGTGCTCACCAGCCCAAAAATACAAATTCCTAGGACACTTGCCAATATGAATTGCCCCACAGTAGCAGTCGAATTGATAGATACAGAAAGAAGTGGCTAGTCTAGGTAATTTATCTTTCAACCTCGAAGTGATCATCGGATGCATAGAAAGCATTAATTGTCATTTGCCTGCAATAAAAATTCTTTGGACTGATCTGTTCAACCGTTTCACTAGGTTCATCGTCACTGAATTGTAAGCGCATATATACAGCGGCTTTTTGTTCACAGTTAGGCATCCCTTATGCTCTTTTATTGGTTAAATGTTAATTTATGTCACCAGATATCCAACTTCCAGCCTAACTAGTTAATAGTCATTTTGATGATATGGTGACGTAATTTGATTGATGTTCATTTTTATGTCCTAAACTGATCCACACATCATACCATTGTCATAATTATTATTAATACTATTATTGTTAATATTATTATAATACTTGCTAACCATTTTGAGGAATTTATTCAGTATCCACCCCTATCTACTAATTTGTACCCAATTCGTTTTTGATGGAGTTTTGTTCTCTTAGCTGGATGGTTTAGTCGTGGAGCTTTCATCGTTCTTCTGAATGACATCATGAGCACAAACTTCAAGTAGAAGGTACCTAATTCATATTATTCTACATATTACGTAATTTTCGATTTATAATTACATCATTCTCTCTCTCACACTCCATGTTGACCATATTTATTCTGATCATTATTTATCTCACAATTTCATTTCACTTATAAACTGATTCAAGTTAACACTTCATATTAGTCAACGCTAATATTAACGATTTGATTTGATTTTATGTAACAAACAACAATCTTTGGTTCAGATGTTATGATTTTACATCATGTACTTTGCCTTAAATCTGACCAATTTTGTGGATTATTAATTTGGATATGAGATAATTGTAGAACTTTATGAGAAATTACTGAAAAGCATATTCATCGTTCACACAAAGTAATCATTAGTTCGTACAAATGCCACAACCACATCAGCCTCAATGGGAATCCGACTTTCTGTAATCGGTTGTACTTTTTCTCCTTAGGTTCATCATGTATCTGTCCGACTGTGTGTATGATGTAGACTCTATATGATCTAGAATGTACTCATTAAAAGCAGAATTAACAACCGAAATTGGAACAGACTCACCTGGTTCCTGGAATTGTATTTGATCAACATCTCTATCGTGTGTGCTTAAATCATTGATAGCTAAAATTCAAACCATAGATTTTTCAACATTCTTCGCCACAATCTCCGTGGTTGGTCAAAGATTATTTCCACAATAAAATATAACTTACGCAAACTCTAAACACCTCATATTTCAACGGAGAATCCTTTTTTTAGTAACTTTGATGGGATCTCTTTCGTTGCAAAATGTTTAACATTTCTAGATTGCAGTAATGTGTCTACTCCTCATTCCAATTCATCAAACGTTGAAGCCGCAATGGAATTAATGGAAGTCCTTAATGTCCTGACGAAATTTTCTTCCTGACCATTATAACAAAAGTGCCTGTTAGTAATGAACAGATGTCTGCATCCTATACCATTCAACCAGATAGTGACTGTCTCTGCAGCAAAATGAGAGCCATTAACACTCAATAACAACATAGGAACCACCTACCGACTGAAAACTTTTCTTAATGCCTGGATTAAGAAGTCAGAATATGGTGAAGTTGTGAGAGAAACTTCAGGCCACTTGAGAGAAGCATTGATAACAAATGCATAGTATTTGCAGAGAAATGGACTACAATAGTCTGCATAAATTCTCTGCCAGGCCTCAGACGATAATGGCCATAGAATCCGTTGCGAAGGATGATTTTCCAACTTACGATATTCTCCACAATGATTTCCTGTACGATATATGTCAGTATTTATCTCCGGCCACTAACATGTGAGCCTTGTCAAGGATGTCATTCAGCATCTAATTGTCCACTATGAAGATCTCCAAGGACAGATTTACGTTATAAAAAAGGAATAAATGCACGACCATTCAGACACAAAGTACCATCAGGAGTAGTGGATAACTCATCCTGTTTTGGGAGATAAACAAGAAACCTACGTTTCAGATTGGTATTCCAACCTCTTCATATGGCACAGTATACATTCAAAGTATTGACGAGTTTCTCTAATGAGATCTGGATGCCTCACCGGTAAAGATTTTACTAACAAATAGTCTGCAGTATTAACAGCTTTATCTTGTAATGATTGTCGAGGTATGTAGCCAACATGTTGGTTGGTGAGTACAAATACCACTTATAGCTTCAGACATCCCGAAGAGGAGAATTTCTCACCCACTCAACAGAACTTTCCCTGCAGCAACTTCGCGACTAGCATTCCCCAGTCGACCTATGGTCACTAGTAATCTAAAGGAAAAATTGTCATTTGACCGATTTCCTGTGCACTTATCAATTCCTTTGTTCATGTTGGGCCAGTTATACAGGGCGATCGAAGAGTATTTTACTCGAAACAATTCGCGAACACTACCGGGCTTGACTGAGAAGAGGCGGAAATAAGTTAATTAGGAGCTCAATAATCCAATACCTTGTGAACACAGGTCATTCGACCAAAGCGGGTTATGCGTTCAAAGTCACCTACAAGGTGAGTAGGAAACGTCCAAATTTAGTTACCTTCCATCTTTTTAGCATTGCTGCATCACTTCCTAAACATCTAGAGAAAGCAGAATTACATGTACAGAAGAAACTTCACAACCCACTGGCCTCTTGAAAAAACTTTCCTTTTTTTCTCTCACAGTCATCTGCTTCCCTTTTATCTTCTTCTGAACATAACTTTTACTCCCAACTGATTTGTTTCTCTTTTCATAATTCGATTGATTACAATTCATCTTAATTTCAGCATTTAACCTTACTACGCAGAACCTTTTTCCGATTACAATTCCTTCATCTATCTTCATGATGAATATTCAATGGGGTATAGCATAGCAAAACTATTTGTTTTCTTTTCGTTCAACTCTATATTAGCCGTACATCATACATGGGCTGACGTAGAGTTTTCACAAAAGAGGATCGATTAAACGTAATTGGCAAGGTTTTAAACCCAGTAATAGTTCTTTAAGATGATACTAATCAGAATAGTGAAGCTGTAGCTTCCTATGAAACCCAGCATCGCAAACGGACACAATCAGTGACTTCTACTTACTCATAATCCAGTAGAACTAGGTAGTCTATCTTCATTTCGTAGTCTCACTACTGGGAGGCTGGAGAAGGGACATTATCTTAATATATTGAGTGCTTGTTGTAAGGGCTTTCATATACATTATACCACTGTTTTACTGACTTCACTAATTTTGAGCTGTAAAGCTTTGTTCGGTAGTTTATGATTTTATCTCAGTTTTTATCACAGAGATAGACGTTGTTTAGAACTTTGACGGACGTTTATTATTACTCAATAATAGATCACAGAAAATTTTTAGTTCCTCCTTGAAAGTCCCTTCAGAGTAAATAACTTTAGCTCTACGAACTAAGCATTCAACCAAATCTTGCCTATACTTCAGTCAAACAAAGCTTTAAAAATGGGTATATTGGCTTAGTGGTTAGTTTACAACCAATAATTCTCTCCATTGTCGGATCAGGTCCTTGTGTCAACAAGACGTTTAAAAAGAGTATATAAACTCAGTTTCTTCTAGTTGGGAAATTGATTTTGTAGAGCATCTTGAAGACGGTAATAAACTTCTCATACGCAATCAAGAAGTACCTTACCCATGTTCAACTCCAAAAGGATTAGAAGAATGCTATTGTTAATTCAGTTTCTCGATTAGTTACATTTTATTTCGCAAGTTGAATTCATGACGAGAAAATGTACTATAAAACATAAGCTTAATCCGTAAAACAACTAAGGGTTATTTAAAAAACGATTGAAAAGTAAACAGTAACTAAAGGAATACAGTTTTTTCCAAAACAAAATTGAAAAAAGAATTATATTAACAACATAGAAATTTAATGAAATAAAACTGTATTCGCTAAACGTAACATCCATACAAGATAAGGCAATGGAATACGATCACAACCTTTAAATCGAATTTGTCTATTATCCATAGTAATGGGCATTAATGGTAGAAGACCGTAATCTGTCTTTAGTGCCGTTGTAGCTTTATTGAATAATGATTCAGTTTTCTGTGGATCAGCTGTAGTAGTAGTAGTAGTAGTAGTAGTAGTAGTAGCAGTAGTAGTAGTAGTAGCAGTAGAAGTGACCTTGGCAAATTCACAACTTAAATAAGTACAAATAGTAAATGGACTGACGGAATCTATTAAATGAAATCCTTTAATCCGTTCTACTGGAATAAATGAAGAATATGATCGTCGACCAGTAAAGTAACGATTTGATGTTTGTAAACCATATCCAGATATGAGTAGAAGGGATTCTGTGAAAAACGGGAAAAATATCAGTCAGTAGAATAATATGTAGTAGTCTTCTAGCGTCACCTACAATTGGATTTACAAGCTTACATGTACTTACGGTGGCAAGTATATGTAACATATTTTTAGAAACCTTTGTCTGAAAAGCAGTAGGCTCTTCATAAGTGCTCCTGATAGACATAGTGGACAAACAGTCGACATTAGTCGCGCGTTCAAAATAATTAACAAACAACCAACATCGATTTTATCCCTTAGACAGAGGTAATCACTATCGAACATTCTGGATTAGATCTATGTGTACTGAACGAAGGCGTGGTAAACCTTTCTGTCATAGTGGCTATAGTTGTCATCAAATAAACTTTTATCTTTTACGTAATCCCATTAATGCTTACATATCAATTTGATTTCGGTTTCAATTATGTTGATTAATTATGTAATTATTCATTATTTTCATTATAAATATGAGATCCATTTGTCTATTATTATTAATAATAGCTGTAAAGTCATCTTCTATACCCTGCGTTACAGTCTTCTCAGTATGTAAACACGCATCAATCTTAACTAAGGTTAATCATAGGTTTTTAGTTCTGTTCATGTTATGATTTCCGGTCTTTTTTCGAACATCTATCTGAACTTCACTAACTAAAGTATGTTTATCATTATATGACTTTTTGTAATTCCAAGTTGATTGCGGCTGATAAGGATTCGTGAGACAAAATTAATTCATTTTATTCTGCAAATTTTGTTTGCGGACTGTATCAACAATAGTAGTTAATCAGTGTAAATAGAGTAGTCTTAAAGGTGGCCACACTTGATAGCCCGAATAGCTCAGTGGTGTATTATATAGTGTGTCACTGGGTGAAAGGAGTTTAAATTCCACTAGAAGCATCAATTTTTTTTCAAGACTGCAGATATGCCCTGCTGATGAGTCCAAAGTAGCACCAAACCTCGAGTTCATGACTTGGTGTCGATTGCTTTGAACTAACTAACAAAATACACTGTGGTTTAACATTTGTCGAATATATCCCCTAATGGAACAGGTGTAATTTAGAAAAATTACCAGATAAGTTGGAATTTATGGTTGGAACTACTTACCTTCAGTAACGGTATTACGTAAATGCATATAAATGAAAATAACGGCAGAGAAAAACAAGATTAACTGGACAAAGTACGACTGAAAAGAGAGAGAAAAAATATATGAATATGAATGACGTCAACGAAAGAAATTAAAATGAAAACATTTGATGAAAATAAAGCCATTTGTGAAGTGTGTAGAAAATTGAGATGCTGTGGTCGTCTACTGATACACAAACGGAAACTGACAGAGTGAATTTAACGATACTTGTGAATATCGTTTTGATATGACGAGCGAAAATTACGCCTATAAATTAGGAGTTGACCGATTGAATAATGAGTGATGTACAAATTGATTTCCTGTTATCGCCTATGATATTTAACCACATTAACTTTTGTGTCGACATTTTATATAAAAGTATGTCATTTTATCAAAAAGAAAAAGCCTATTTTTCTGGTAAGTGATTTTATTATTAAAACTCAGTTCATTCGGAGGATTTGTGTGAGTTACTCTGATCTCGTGAGCAAACGTCACTCGACCACACTTCGTATCGTTATGTAACATCTATCGAGACCAGCAATCTACACATTGATTTTAGCAATCAAAAGACTGTTCATCATATCATCGAAACTCTAATTTATGAAAAATTTACAGTATTATGATCATATTAAAGCAAGTACTAACGCCAACCTTTTAACAAGAATTTCCGAATGTATCACGAAGTGGGAATTTCGAGTAAAGTGAATACAATTACAATAATTTAGGCCCAAGTGAACAACGGGGAACTTTTTTAAACATAGTCAGTGGCTGCTAATCAGGGTTATAATGGTAGGTACAAAATACCTGGTTAACACCCGTGCAATACTCGTGACCAACGGTGGGAGACGTTAGGTGAAATGACCCAAAATCGGTTGCATCTTTGATCTCACTCATTCCCTTCCAATCATCTTCATCGTGCCTAACTTTAACGTGAAATTATTTTCCATCCTTTAGTTTTTAGTCTTAATGATTTCCTTTCTGAAATGATGGGGAAGACTTGTAACTCAGGTAGACGCTATCGGTGATGTTACGTTTTCTAAGCTAGATGGTTTAGTTACGGAGCTTTCACTATTATTCAAAATAACAACCTCAGTAACTGCTTGATTTAGAAGCGAGTCTTCTAGTTATCCTATCATCATTCACAGAATAAATTGAACTAGGCTTAATAAATTTTACACTGGAAAAACTGGGTGTTCAATTCACTTACTCATAAATGAACATAGATGAGGTGACAAGATATGTTATCATTACTATTGATACATGTAAACAGTCATAGCTGTAAATTCAATTAGAGAAACGTCGACTACCAGAGAATTTCTGGAAGACTCACTTTTATATGAAGTAGGTGCTGAAAATGTTCAAAATGATAACGAAAGCTCCGTAACTAAACCATCTATCTCAGAAAACACAACACCATCAAAGTGTCCTTTTCCCCTGTCCAGACGAGGGATGTAGGGACTTGGAAAGACATACATCTGTGTCAAATGTTATGTTTATAACTCAGATATATATATATATATATATATATATATATATATATATATAATACTCACCCCTGCAATAAAACCGACTGAACAACAAACTAACATCCAAAGTACTGTCATGACAAACCAAAACGATAAGGATATGTTTCGACTGTGTTTAACTTCAATCCATGCAGGGACTGATTCATGTGACGACAGTAATATCGGATCCTGATTTATATTTACAATTACTGGGTAAGAAGTTAGACAATTTATGAGACTACTTTTATCCGGAAATCGGTAAATCAGGTTACAGCCACAAGGAAGACGAAACAACAAAGAAAGGTCATCAATAATCCTTTGGGAGGGGTAAAAAGAATGAAACACAGGAAACATCTGAAAGACAATTGAGAATAAAACAATGATAATAGTTGCTAGAATTTCTAAATTATACATACACGGAACATCAGAAATTTCACCCGCATCAAAGTTGACGAAACGATGGTAGGATGGCTAGTAGGGAACAATTTACGATACAGTCATAATATCTCATATCCTTCAACCTAACCATGGATAAATTTTAAGGAACTGTGACTCCTTACTCACAATCCGATAGGATATATAAGGACAACACAGATTAGTTACTTCTGTTGTGTAACATGTAGTAGATTCAAGGTATTCGACCTCAAATTCATCATGAAATTTGGAGTGATATACAGTGGTTAAGGCATTTGGCTCTCAGTTACTAGGTCTATGATTCGAACCCCACCCCACCTATCACGGTTTGAGGAAGCGGTTGGAACCATTGGCCTTGGCAATTAGAGTGAGACTCATACCCACGTACCTAGTAAATCGGTTAGTTACTGCTTTATATCATTACCCATAGCTTAAAATCTGATGTATTTATACAAAAGTTTTGTCAGATCTCTCTTTTTACGATGACCCTTAGGTTTAATTATATTTCGCATGTCAATTTACAAAACATCCTTTAATTTCCCTTATCTATTCGGCATTACCATTATAAAAGATGTCTTAACTTAGAAGTCTTAGTTAGCATTGATGCTACTTGCCATTAACCTTTGGACTCCTCGGTTAATGACACGCCTGCTGTTTATTCTTATGTATTTCTTAAATATTATCAACAGCCCCTCTTTTTGTGTAACTATTTACTTAGAACCATGTAATCGATGCCTGGTTACAACCCACTAAATTAATACTTTTTATAAACAATTTATCTGAAAGCTTATAATTTAAGTTAGTTTACTTTTTTTAAAAGTTGACAAGTAATAATCTATCATTATTAAATGTTCTTAATTGGTTTGATGAACAGAATATGAACTGATAGTTTATCGAAACTGCTATTAGGAATGGCTTTAAAATTAGAATGAGTTTGTAGGTTACTACTATTCGACCACAGGTATATTTGAAGCTTTGCTCCCGTATGTTGGGATCATTCGGTGAGTGATATAGGAGTTAAAAGCAGAGTACTAACCAAAAATGACAAATTGGTTGAGAAAACGTTGAGCTCCTAATGACTGATGTGGTTGAGACATGTACTGCATATTCTTAACCAGCGCCTATCTTAAGATGTGATATTAGTTGACGTAGTAGATTGAAAGAAAAAAACTAGAGACAGCCAAAAAGGAAAACATAATAATCCATAAAGTCATGCACTATTGGTCTGTGCAGACTACCTGCTTAGAGTTCAAGAAATAACTGCGACTAGAGGTTGGATACGTTAGGTGACACGACTCAGAATTATTCACGATAGCTCAAATCTATCCACTCTCTATCTCTACTTAGATCTTGAGATTTGAAGTTATCTCATACTTTTTAACCCACGAGTTCCTTTCTTTCTCTTGGATTATATTGTCCTTTTTTTCTACTATAACTGATACTGCTTTTACTTTTGCTACTTTGGTATTTATCCTGGTAATGCCATCTGGATGTGCTGATGTGATGTGGTAATTCGAACCATTGGACGTGTCAGGTTTTACATCACTTATTACTGACTGATTAGAAAGCAGTGGTACCTAATCAAGAGCAGAAATTTACACTGGGATAATTTCAAAAACTGATCAGTTATCTTTTTTCAATCATAATAAACGACTATTTACAGTTTTCAAACCTTTTAACTTTCGGGACCTCATTTGTAGTTCACTCTTCTGTGTTTAGAATTAACATTTTAAATAATCAATATTGTTAACAGATTCGATTTGCTTTTCTAGATTTTGATTATTAAATTTACAAGTACAACTGTTTTTTCATATACAGAAAAATGTAAGGTTCATACGATACAGAACAACCAGAACAGATATAGTTAGAATATTTATTTAAAACTTAATTTAGATTCTTAAGCTTCAGATGGCTTATTCAACAGAAACAAGGACTTGGTGCGATTATGTATAGCTCCTATTTGTGTTACTCTTCACATCCGTTTCCAAAGGAAATATCCGAAAAACAAGTAAAACATAAGATTAAGGGCACGGAAAAGCACAATGTTTCATGTTAACATGACACAAAATTAATACACCTACATCTTCGCAATAGAACTTTGAGTAACGATAGACTATGACCCTTCCGAGGACAACAGCTATGAAGATCAAGTCTCGTCAAACAGCTCAACCCTCATTTATTTGGGTTTAGAAAGATGACAACACAGAAATAAAAATTTGGTCGCTGACTGAACGAACAATTTTTTGAAAAATAGTTCATAAGCTTTGATCGAACTTTTACTACGATTTGGGAGTCACCCGGGATCATTAACTTATAACGTGAGAGACAAACTCGTATGTAGTCACTGAGATTCACTGATCCATGAATGAAGATATGTTCTCTGCAACCAAACCCATGCAACCAATCATTCATAAACAAATAAAAATGAGTAGAGCAATGAGGGAAATCAATAATGTGAAATTTATGGTGCCTTTAGCAAAGAAAGTGATTTTTCACTTAACTTCTATATGACAAAACATTCTGGTAATAGTGTTATAATCACTACTGATTACTTACATTTCTCGAAGAAAATTATATGCAAGTATTGTGCTCCTTGGAAAGACATTTGCTCAACAAACCTCCCACTTTCTGAAGTTATACAAGTCGCCAAATAAATGCGGTGTTAACAGTAAATCCTCATTACGCAATAACTTTCCATTATCAGAGATAAAGGATAGAAAATTTAAGTTGTCCTATTTCAATTAGTCAAGTCTACTAATCATTGTAGACAATTCAAAATGATAAGTCCATAAGAATCGTGATAAATCCCAATCACATATGAAATATAAAAAAAATTAGAACGTTTGTTTGTTGAAATTATTCTCTGGGGTCTACAATAAAAAAGTATAATAAATATCAACGTCTTTACATTTTCCCCTATTAAAAAGGTTGGTATGTAAAGTCGTTAAATGTCTACCAATAAGGAAAACTCGAATGTTTGGGTTTTCACGGGTTATAAATTAACAATCACCTAGTTGTAATACTTCTGTTACGTATCGTTTTTAAAGTATCTTCATCAAACACTTCGAAAGTTGCACTAAGCGATAACATTCCTGTGAAGAATCTACATTTCTGCCAAATTACAATATTATTGTTCAAAGATGAGTAAATAGACATATATATTGCTATCTTGAACTACTACCGTCATCCTTCTCAGTGAATTTGTCAGTCAAACATCTTTTATGAAAACCGTCTTGCTCTGGAGTTAACAGATTTTGTAATTCCAAATGACCAAGTAATTTACCAGGAATCATTCTCTTTGATACTTTAGCCAATATCCTGATTAGGCTAAAATGATGGTAATCAGATATTAGTATTTACATTCCTAAAACTAGGGGTAACGGACAGCAACCTTCCAAATCCTTGAGAGTTTAGTTCAGGAAGAAATACTGAATAATTGTATGAATGGTTCTGAGAATCGTGTCTTTGAGCGATACCAGTATTCTAAGATCTAACTCATCTGAATTCACGGACTTACTAGGTTTTAGGCAACTAAGTAATCAAAAACTGTCTCTTGAGTTACGAACGCTTAGTCAGCAATCTCATCAAGCTGACTGCTAACACTAGTATGTCCCACCATTAGGGGGAAGTAACCATGCAGTCATGTTATTCAAATTCATGGCTGAGATTGCCTGTCAAACAGTTGCGCCGGCCTGTCCTAATATATGGAAGGCAATCAACCCCGCATCATCGGCTGAAAACTGGGAAATTGACTCAAGGGCTTCAGTACAAGAGGCATGAACTTATTTCGGGCAGTTATACAATCGGGTAACTCAACCATACATACCCTGGACAGTCCCAAAGAGGAAGAAGCACGGTCTTCCCTGGATAGGCTGGGATATTCGACGTTTACTAAGACAAAAGAAGAAATGTTAGAACGTTGCTATCAGTCTTGGCACAGCAAGTACGATGAAACGCTACAGATCGGTAAGAAACACGTGTATAATTCAAATTCAGGAATCTCAAAAAAACATGAAATACAGTTGGCACAATCTGCACTCAAGCAGCCTAAGAGAACATTCTCATACATAAACCACAGAACAAGGATGCATCATTGGATTCCCAACCTAATTAGAGAAGCATGTGGATCTGAAATGATAGAGGAAGATCAGGAAAAAGTATAGTCTATGGCTGACTATTTTGGGGCAGTTTTCACTCAGGAACCTCCTCTAGACAAAGAACCAGACCAAAATAAAGAGTCAACAAACCACCTACTCACCGTGGACTTCGATCAAGACTATATGCTTAAGGCTTTTATCACCTTAATCATGGAAAAGCCAACAGGACCAGATGAACTACACCCCAAAATCTTGAGACATATTGCACAATATATCGCGGCCCCACTGACTGTGATATTCAATATGTCACTTGACCAATGTGTGTTACCTATGGACTGGAAGGACGCAATCGTCCCTCCCATACATAAAACAGGACCAAGACAACTTCCATCGAACTACAGACCTGTAAGCCTCACCAGCGTTGTAGTTAAAATATTGGGAAGAATAGTCCAAAAGCCATAATGACATTTGTGGAAACCAATAACCTTTTGAACAACATGATTTCAGTAAGGGTTTATCTTATACAACGAACTTCCTCATAGCAAGAGAATATTAGATAAAAGTGCTGGACAACGGAAACTCGGTAGATGTTATCTACATAGACTTCAGTAAGGCTTTTGACAAGGTGCCAACAAATAGATTGCTATTGAACTTAGAAAATCTTGGTATTGCCGGACCTCTTTTAAAATGGTCTAGGGTTTTCCTAGTAGGTCGTAGACAGAAAGTAAGAATAAATTCCAAGTGCTCCACCTGGAGACCAGTAACTAGTGGAGTACCTCAAGGTTCCGTCCTAGGTCCTTTACTTTTTATACTGTATGTAAATAATCTCCCAAGTATAGTACAGTCCGCAATGTTATAATACGCTGACGATGTAAAAATCTGGCGAGTAATAACCGGAGACGCAAACGCATGCGCACCTCAGGAAGACTTAAATAATGTGATTACTGACTGGTCTAAAGAGTGGCTGAGTCAGTCAGTTAGCTACAAGGTAGGACCAAGCACATATATGCATCGGTCCAAGTTGCCATACCGCATTAGCACATCAATATGAACACCGGATTCATAGGAATGGTTAAGTCAATGGTGGTAATATATAAAAGAAAGACTGCAATAAGAATATAGTACAGAAAAAAAGATTTAGTACGTAGAAAGATATGAAGCGATTTTAATCTCTTGGTTTAAGGGAAGAGAGTCTATATACCTACGCAATTGTAATCGAATCTGACCCATGTCAAACACAGTTTCAAACCATTGGTTACGATAGTCACGCGGACCCCAACCGAGTAGTCTGCATCTACCAACATGGCTCAGACCAGATGTTTGTGTCTTCAAGCACTGATGCCACGTTTTGGTTTGGCCGCCCATAACTTTCTTCCAACCATTCCCAACACCGGTTAGCATTGCACGTCGTGGTAATCGGTGTTCAGGCATACGTAACACGTGGCCCAACCATCTCAGTCGATGAAGATTCACAACCTCATCAACTGATTTACCATCATTCCCTAATACCTTGTGTCTAACCTCACTATTACTTACCCGGCGATCCCAGCAGACGCCAGCAATATTTCTAAGGCATCTGTGGTCAAATACTAGTAGCTTACGAGTGTCTTCTGCTCTTAATGGCCATGTTTCGCTGCCGTAAAGTAGAACAGAACAAACTGCCGCGCAGTATACTTGTCCCTTAATTGATAGACAGATATCTCGCCTTCTCCATAGGTATGTTCGCAAAAGTCAAGCGAGCTTTCTGAATCCGTGCACAGATTCTGTCAGACATTAACCTATTAGGGTTGATCAGACTTTCAACATAAGTGAAGTCATCAATGCAGGCCAGTCCTGGAGCAACGCCTTGCATTTCGAGGGGGGAAACACATCCTAAGCATCCTGGCATTGTTGCTCAGTGCTACCAAAAGACTCTGAATTCTATCAGCGACTTCACCAAACAGGACTATGTCATCTGCGTATTCTAAGTCGATAAGTGGACCTCCTGGAAGGAGATCAATGCCCGAAAACTCAGACGACGAGAACGTCATTTCCAGCAGTAGGTCTATGATGGGATTAAACATAAATGGAGATAGTGGACAGCCTTGCCGGACACCACATGAGGTTGCAAGAGCAGATGACAGTTCGCCATAAGTTCTGACTCGACCGGCAGTGTTCGAGTAAAGAGCCTTCACAAGGTTTATGTACTTCTGAGGTACACCTTCCAATGACAGATATTGCCACAGAACCCCAGTCAGTAACAACGTAGAACCTCATGTGTACGTACATCAGTTTGAGTTGCCACACCACATTAGCACAGAGATGCAGTTGTCGATTCAAATCCCATAGTGGTAGAGGTGGTAAGAGTATAAGCAGTAATAGGAAACATAAGGGTTTGAAGATGTTATTTAAAGTGTAATCCAGTGAAATAAATTTAGAAAGAAAATAAAGGACATGAATAATTCAGAAGATTAGAATTTGGGAGGGCACAAAGAGTGGATGCACCTGCGCCATTGCAAACGATTTTGAGCCATGTATCGTATCGTGAGCCACAGAACCTCTCGATCTCGGAGTCAAATGCTGCTTTTACGAGTCAAGAAAGACCACCATTGTCGGAGGCCGTTAAACATGCCTGAGTTCTAATACCTGACGAATGGTGAATATGTGGTCGATACAGCCATGACCATGTCTGAAGCTAGCCTGATTTTCTTGTGTTTGCAGTTCAAGAGTCCTTGTTAGGCGCTCAATAATTATTGAGGCTAGTATTTTAGATGCTATGTTGGTCAAACTAATCCCTCTATGGTTATCATAGGATGATTTTGAATCGTTCTTATATAGTGGGACAATCAGTGATTGCGATTAGTTAAATGGGATTACGTCCAACTCTCACATTTTAGTTAAAATATTAATCAGCGTAATCGCTAAAATTGGACCACCATCCTTAAAGACCTCTGGAGCCAATCCATCTGGACCAGCTGCCCTAACTCGTTTCAGATTAGCTATAGCCTTTGAACTTCAGCAAGAGTTGGGGGACCTATTTCAACGTTCAATTCACTGTCTGGAAATAGAGGGTAGTTGTAGAGTAGCTGAAGGTTAGCTGAACTGTTCTACAAAATGTTCCGCCCATCGTCCTAAACGTCTGGACTGGGAGCAGATGAGTGTCGTCTTTCCCCGAGATAGTCTCACTTACACTTGACTTGTTAATTCCAGTTTCTTTTATTAGTCTGTAGAGCTATCTTGTGTTCCCTATGACCGCCACCTTTTCCACCTCTTCTGCTTTCGTTGCCCTTCACTGCTCACGGTCGTTCCTTAGACTTTTGCTTAACCTAGATCTGATTTGTTTACGCTCTTTTCTTCCCACTAGATCGGGACATCTCAGAGGACATAGCAAGCGAGTAGAAAAGCCGAGAACGAACACAATATCCGTGGCACACAGGTTTTCACATCGAGTCATCAATACTTGGAACCTATCACCCGTAACAGTAGTGTCCGCACCTTCAACTGACTAATTAAAGAGAAGACTGGACACCCACAGAAGCATACTAGAAAAGGAATAACATATGCCATAGGCCTTCTGTCCTTACTACACAAATCTGAATCTGACATTAAAATTGCTCTATACGAACTAATTATTTCCCCCTGTATTATATACTTATACGCAATCTTCTTATGTACTGCTATAATCGAAGTGACTACTGTGAATTCGGTGATCACCTTGCTGTGCTGATGAGGTGAGGTAACTTAGACCGAAGCATATATGCCTGGTCCCACGTTGTAGGTGACTGACTTACGAAACGTTATTGATTTGCAGTTGCTTGGTATTGTTGAAAACGACCGAAATATCAGTCTTAAATACCAAGGATAGTATGCTGGTTGAGGCGTGACAATCTTTGCAGTTTGCTTTTCAATGATCGTTTCCCCTTGAAAGAGTTCATCTATGAAGCCGATACTTACTCGAGTGAGGTGTTATCAGCGTTGACCTATCGGAAAAAGCAGAGTCCGTTTTTGATTTTG